TGTTTCAAACTTTTGATCAATCAATTTAGCTATTGCCTCTAAAGTAAGCCCTTTGTTTGCTTGATCTTGGGTTTCTGTTTCTTCCGATTTGACAGCGCAAATTTTACTAGAGGTATCAAATGGCTTCTTGAACCTACTGCCTTCAACTGCTTCATACTCTACCGCATAGGATATAGCCTGTTCTAGAGTCTGGGGATGACTGAAAGTTACCCTTTTTTCATCTCGAAGTTGTTTAGACCCGAAACATATTGATTTATAATTTGAAGCTCAAGGGAAGTATATGGAATTTCAGGACAAGCAAGTAAAGCTCATCTGCGGAGCTGATACCCATAGTCAGAAGCCGACTCGTCCTTGCCTTGACGCCTATTTCGGAACTCGCAGCGATATGCTACACTCCTCTCTTTTGGATTGAACCGTTGTGTCAGAACATTTTTGATTGCTACGAAATCGCTCAGCTGACCATAAGTGAGATTATTAAGTAAAGTTTGTGCTGTACCACTCAAACTCATTGACAATTGCTGAGCTTTTTCACACTCATTCAAACCATTCAATGCGGCTACTTGCTCAAAATGAACGATATAATCCTGCCAGTCTGTTTTTTTTCATTAAACGTATCAGGTTGTTTTTCCCGTCTCTGAACCCTAGGACAAAAACTTTGTTCCCTAACCCTACTCTGATATGGGGAAGAATATGCTGTTCCCAATGTGCTACCCATATTTACTGTACCTACTGGTGTCATCAATGGTTGACCTTGCCCACCCTGTAGTTGCAATGACTCAAACCTAACAGATCTACTACTGTTACCACCAGGATTTGACAGCCGCTGGGAATCCACACCAGAATTTGGAAATGTCACATTCCCTGTACCGGTAGGACCAGCATGTACCTGCTCCAGGTCTCCCTCCCCAAGATCTATCAATAATGGCTGGGTAACCTGTTGTGAACCATGGTAAGGTGTTGAGGTATATGGCAACCTACTGACAGATGGAAAGTCATAATAAGCGTCCTCCATTGCTGAGGGTACTAATAAATCAGAGGTGCCAGACAAATCGTAAGTAGCTTCCATTTATTCTAACTCCTAATGTACTCTACAAAAAAATAATCACTTCACATCTACAATCTGGGTCACGGCACCAAATGTAATAGGAACGGCTGTCACAAACAATATATCATGCTTTGCGTTGTGTTCGTCATTCTTAACCTACAGCCGACCTATTTCCCATTTCTTTTGGGATGTAGAGGAGTGATTAGAAAAATAAAGTAACAAAATATATAGTTTATTCAATAAATCAAGGAAACTCAAATTATAAACCTAACCCCCACATCACTCTTAAGATAATCCTGCATTCCTGCTATGCACTGCACTTCCGTAAAATGTCACCCGCCCCGCCCACTATCTTACCGGTTTCCCAAAGAGTCTTAACTCTACCAAATTCCTCTCATGTTTTATGAAAGAAGATTTGGACACAGATCCCTCACAGATCTACTTGGAACTAACTCCGTCACGGAGTTAAGAGTGGTGCGGTCACCTCACCTGTATCGATCACCAACCGATAACGCAAGACAGTCTACCCCAGGTGTCAAGCCCCCTATTATTTGCCGCGCCAACCGACCTTGACCTCTTCCCGCACCCATCCTAGACGCGATTGGTCAACAATCCGCCCGTCACCCAATCAGAACGATCCTATCAGACGCTCTGACCGGAACTTGAAACTAAAATGCACCCACGTGCAGACCATGCGATAGGAACCCAGCTGGAAATAAACATTTCCCCCATTCCACGGCCAAAAGGTAAGTTTTAAAGGAATATAAAGGTGGTAAATTGACTACGAGTCATCGGGAGTTAACTGCATATGTTACGGTATTATGTTTAATAAAACTAGTTAATTTTTCATTACTGAAAATACGTTTCTGTCACATAGTTAATATCTGCTAAATATGAACTAGTAATCGATTCTGAAATAGCCATATCTCAAAATGAAACTGCGTGATTACACCTTAATCGATCGATACAGACACCATACATCGGTATAAGATTTCTGATCGATATATAGGCCTATATAAGGTATCCAGGTAGATCTAGGAAAATTGCCCACACCTGTAATACATTGTGATCGTTTAAAAAAAGAGCTGTCCTTTCATTTCACCCTTTTTTCAGAAAATGTCCAAAATTCGCAAGTAACTATGACATTAAAATCATCAATCTCAAAACAATTTTTCATTTCAACTGTGTGGTGATCGAAAACCGAACTCGGCAGTGAAGCTCCGTTCATCGATCAGTAGGAATGTTAAAGTACTCACGGAAATGAAAAAAAACCTGTTTTTCTCAATTTAAAAATCGACACAAAGTGTTACGTAGCTGTAAATACGAAATAACAAAACAACTCGAAAAGTACTAGTCTGGATTTGCTTGTTTGATCTCAGTGAACAATACAAAATGTACTTTACAGGAGGTAATTTGTCGGCACTTTCAACATTCAAAAATGAAACTAAGTCCAAATTGACATAGCAGAAACAGACTATAGGCATTATGCACTTGTTCTCACCTGTCGTCAAGGTTATTTATAGGTCACCTTGATCTACTTACACCTGGTTATACCCTGTTTCACAATATATAGTCTGTTTTATTCACATTTTTACACACTTTTTACGTGTTAAAAGGCATAAAAAACATTTGATACGCTGTATTTGTGCCACGGCCCAATTAGTACTAATTTAGTTGTTTGAATATTTACATATTTTGTATATTAACTGCATTTATTTAAGAACTGAGGTCGAAAAAACAGTTTTATTCCATTTCCGTGAGTACTTTAGCTAGATCGTATGACATGCAAACGCAATGCTGAACGTTTCCGAAAGCCCCGTTATGAATTTCATGTTCACTGACAGCAATCACAAAATTGACTTGTAAATTCGAGTTTGTTATTAATTTTCTAACCTTACCCATTCCCACACTTAGCAAATACGACAGCGACAATGACAAATGAAGCAATGTTCATTCAAAAATACCAGTGTAAATAATTGATTGGCTATTCATTTGCTTGCCGCTGTCATCCTCTCACCCCGAGATTGCGACTCGTGGGTTGTTCATCGTACATGATAATAAAACATATCGTGTCATGTTTTGCATTTGCCCTTGTCCGGCGTTTTGCTAGAAATATGTATATGGCGTTTACAAAATATAAATAGTGTGGATGCAGTGTCACGACATATTCCACGGATTTTGTCACTGACGTAAAATAGGCAGGATCCATTGACAGGAGTGTGTTTCTCTAATTTCCAAAATATTAGGCCTAGATTTCTCTAGATCTACTCACATTGACACCTTGGAATGAACACTGTTTCTCTTTTCAATTGTAAGGTTTGAAAAAAGAATTGAACACCTCGTCAACACAGTAATGAAGTAAACACTTACCGCAAAATAGGTTTTCCCTCAGCCCTCGAAGTATCCTTTCGCGTCGTCTGCTTGAAAACGCGCGTGAGTAACAGCGCCCTCTATTACAAGAGTTGCTTCCCCTGATTCATGTTGTGAAAACGTTCGACCCACGTAACAAAACCGATCGCGATATTTCAAACTTTTGCCAAAATCTTGTAATTTGCTGAATGAATTGTACCATGTGACGAATCCCATCTGTATCTTCTCTCTCTGTTGTATATGTGCAGCCAAAATGGTCAGTGAATGTGCTTGATCTATTTCATTAAAAATAAAGTTAATAGTTTGAGTTCGAATAGAATTCTTGTATTATTCGTAAATATATTAGACCGAATATGTGTCACATTGTAATCGACAAATGTTTTTTTTTTCTTTTATGTTATAACAAAACCAAATCATATATCAGGTTCAATAGTGTCAGCGCCAATCACCAGCAATAGCCCGACAGCGGACCGATGCAGTTTCCCGATGACGATATTGCCGGCTGTTGCCGATGCATAGCACAACGTCGGCCCGATGTAGGTGTGCTAGCTGGGTTAATAGTTAATTAATTTCACACCATATCGTCATGTGTCGCCACCGCTGTGTTCGACCATTCGACGTCCTCAGATCATTCGAACCCCGATGGCAGCACATGTTTTCTGATAAAAATTGAAATCTTTCATTTGTAAAACAAAATAATGTTCCGTTTCATTCCTGAAAAGTAATCGAGTGTTTAAACAATATAATGGCGTCACAGGTGTGTTTTATCATTATATCTCCTAGCTTGAGGCTCCACCATGAATATGACACAAACAACCAAACTGACATATTGATTTGTTGTGACTCATGATAGCCCTTAACGATGTCCAACACTTCTACACTAAACTACGGTGGCCCATACCCGCCACTGGTGAGATCATTGCTCACTGTAGGCCTCTATATTTTATCTGGCGGTCGCCAAATACTTTGCTGGCGGCCGCCAGACACTTCCACTGGTGGGATCAAATATAGAGGTTTACAGGGGAAAATGACCTCACAAGTGGAAGTATCTGGCAGCTGCCAGATAAAATATAGAGGCATACAGTGAAAAATGATCTCACCACTGGCGGGTATTGGCCATCGTACTAACCTCGTAATTTCTCACTCTGTGGTATAGTAGAATTAATGTCGACGTCGCAGTGTCAGCTTAGTGACAATAACAATTATCATAGGGACAGTTTTCAAAGAGCTATCAAATTGTTAATGATGCCATTTGCTATCACTTTGATGCTGATGTGTATTGATGTACCTCGCGGCGGATTTAGGCACGCCATATTGCGGCAGACCAGGACAGGATGTGCTGACAATAAACATATGTAACTTGTTTTCATCCGGTAGTAGAGGTTAATTGCTAAAGTGGTTGGCGAGAGATAATAGGCGATTTCATTATTCTCTACATAGAAATTATGTCATGGAAACAACTAGCGCTGCTCTTATAAGTACTGATGTACATTGACACTGGAACATTCACGGGTGAAAACTTGCTGAACGTATATTCTGTGTGTGTACTTGCATCAGGACAACTAGAGACACTTATACCTTTATCATGGATTATACAAATATCACTGACGATGTGGTGAATTATACCAGCCTCCAAACAGATGGATCCTTGGACAAAGGTATCAATGGTACTGAAGAGGAACCAGACTGGTTTGTATATTACGGGATCCCGTACAACCCTGAAATGAAGATCTATGGAATTTTCATCCTCGTCGTAGCTTCTTTGGGCATTCTTGGCAACTTCTTCACAATGGCGGTTCTGAGTCAGAAGAATATGAGTTCGATTGGAACAACCTTGTTATTCCACCTGGCCATCCCAGACAACGTGTACCTTGTCGCTATTACCATCCTGGACGGCATCATGTGGCTTAACCCGGGTACTGACTTCATTGACCACATTGCCATCGTTTCCCAGTCGATACTGGGTCCGATCTCCCACACTGCCTACACCACAGGGATCTATATAACAGCAGCCTTGGCTCTTCAGAGGTACGCCATGGTTGCTAAGCCCTTGCAGGTGAAGTCTATGATGACCCGAAAAATTATCAGATGGATTGTTCTGGCAATCTATATATTTTCCATCCTGTTTAACATTCCCCACTGGATCGCCATGGCCCCTGAAAGGTACTGGGAGCCCTATTTGAACAAGACATGGCTGCGACCACGAAACAAAGAATTTATGTTCTCAAACTTTTATACAAAGTTCTACAGGGGATATGTGAACATGGTGATAAAACTAGTTGTACCTATTGTAATATTCATCACGACAACGTCTCTGATTCTGGTGCACTTGTATCGAAGTCGGCATGGTATTCTCAAGTCAGGTGTCAGGTCCGCTGCTAAATCCATTAACACGTTGGGCGGAAGAAATGAAAACAAGTTGACCCTCGTTGTCCTGGCAGTAACCCTGATGTCCATCTTGAGCCATTCTTGTACATCTCTGCAGTTCATATTCAAACAGTCCATTTGGCAACGCGGGAAGTGTCAGTATGCTTGCGTAGTGTTTGGCCGAATCGGGAACGCTCTCACTGTTTGTAACTGTGTCTTTAACTTTGTTTTCCTTTGTGCCTTCGGTAGGAGGTTTCGTGAAAGCGTAAGTTCACTCTTTAGATCCATGAAATCATCATTTTCGGTGACGCATGTTTCGTAAATCATGTTGTTAGCTCACCTGGCCATGTGGGTTTATTTCGTCCTAAGTCTCCGTATGATGACATCATATTTTGTATAAACTGTTGGATTTTAGCGTCTCAATCACTTTTATTTATTCACACATATTTTAAGGTTTGAGCTGACGGCAACTGTAGTTAGGTGGATGTCGTTCTTGACACTTACCACCGTTGCCTATATACCCAGGTGAGCTACTGTACCATGGCACTAATGCTTATAATTTTCATTTGATTACGATCGTAAGAAATGTTATGCCAACCCCGTCACAAATCATTGGGGTTTTCTCCTTTGTGGGTTGGTCTGTCAGCCAAAACGACTGCTTGGCGGATATGTTTAATGACACTGATCCTGTATTTAATACAGACATGTTATTTATATATTTTTCGTCATTTGAAACTGTCCCGAACTTTTTTACCTTCTTCGCCATGCTTTGGATTTTTCCCATATCCATGGTACGACCCGGAATATGAGAATGAATAATAAATTATTCTTCGGAACAGCCTCAGACCTTTCCAGGCCAACAAACCTGTTCTTGTCATTTTGATAAATCCAATGAAATTATTTATATCATTGAATTTTCTGTGCCTTTTGACACTAATGCGATTGGCAAGACTGAGGAAGAACATGGCAAATATGCGGACCTCGCTTTCGAAATGTCACGCTTGCATCCAAAGTACCAAGTTGTCCGACTTCCGACTACCTTAGGGTTCGTTAAGTAAGGGTTTGCTACCACGAATACAGCATTTCTGACAACCTGGGTAATGCAGAAGGCTGCAGTGTTGGGGGGTCTTCACCTTCTCAGACCATGCATCATGTCATCTTTGACCATCACGTCGATAAACTGGTCGTAAGTGGCATTAACCCCGGTTTTAATGAGTGAGTATGGTTTTACGCCGCTTTTAGCAATATTCTAGCAATATCACAGCGGGGAACACCAGAAATGGGCTTCACACATTGTACCATGTCGGGAATCGAACCCCAGTCTTCGGCGTGACGAGCGAACGCTTTAACCACTAGGCTACCCGACCGCCCCGCTTCCTGTGAGAAGTCCCATTCGCTGTCTGGGCTGCGTGTTCAGGGGGCAAGGGCCCTGAGCTGATGATGAGCCTAACCAGCCTGACTGTGCCAGGATCACCTAAACCCTCTTTGCTGCATTTTGTATTTTAATCTGTACATAATAATAAAAATAAATATAATATTAAAAATAATAATTGAGAATGCTGTGAATATCGATTTACTGTTTGTAAGTGTTTGAATGGGTATTTGATCTGTTTTTTATGTGAGTTTCGTGAAAATAGGAAGTTATGGACTTTGGTATTGTTTTACCTAACCTGAATATTTTAAGTGTTTTGTTAGCTTGAACGTTTGTAATATAAGCGATTAAACCCTCTTCCTGATCTATTTTAAAGTAGAGTTCATTTTGCATCTTCGACTATATATAAGCTTGTGTTTATGAATCACTCTCAAATGATAAGGGTACCAGGTGTTTGCGAAAAGGTGTGCGTATCCTGCACCACCTGTCTCACCCGTCATAAACACATGCAAAGGCAAGTAAGTTAAACACGGGTGAGGTGAGGTGGAATGGGGTTTAACGTCGCGTCCAAGATTATTGCACTTATATAGCGACGTGCATGTACGTGTGTGTGTTTGTGTTGCTGCTTGTGCTAGTCCGGAGTGATGCCGATTTATAGTGCTAACCGAGTATACTGACTCAGAGCCGACCAGTCCTTGTTTTAGACCCTTAATGTCGAGCGCCAGACAGGGTAACAACAAGTACCATCTTTTAACGTCTTTTTGTATGACGCGGCCGGGGATCGAACCCCCGACCTTCCGCTCCCCGGGCGGACGCTCTACCACTAGACCACGGAGGCGGTCGTTAAACACGGGGTATTGTATTAAGGATTACGGTAAATATTTGAGACAGACATTTAGTTGTACAGTTTATATCTTCAATACATCTCTCTTTGTGTGTGTCCCCGTGGTCCCTAGTATGGTGGCCAAACTCGATCTCCAGCTCGTGTTTATCATGTTTTGTTATGTATACAGTAAACTACGGTTATAACGAACTGAAAGGGACTACTAATTTTAGTTCGTTATAACCGTAGTTCGTTATATGTACATATACAGCATGACTACAGCAAGTAGTCGGGACCAAAAAGTAAGTTCGTTATAACCGTCAGTTCGTTATAAGCGTGTTCGTTATAACCGTAGTTTACTGTAGTAATATCGGGTCTGCACTTTCTGTTTCTCGAAGGGACATAACCATGTTGAAGATGAATTCCATGTTCTTATGATTTGTGACCAGTATTCCAGAGCAAGAAGAAACTCTTTTCCCAAGCGTCTCGTTACCCCTCCCTCTACTGAGAATTTTATAAGACTTATGTCAGCCGAAAACGAACAAATTATAAAAAGCTTAGGTAAATTTCTCTTCCAAGTCATGAACATTCGAACGGAAACACAGTGTTGAACGGTAAATCATTATTAAAATCTACTCAGCATGCAAATATATATACAGTATATTTCCATTTTGTTATTGGCCGGTGGCATGAAGTACCGAATACATTTGTCTGTCTGTCTGTCTGTGTGTAATATCGTTTTATCGTTCCATACTAGTTTTAAATATGTCTGTGATACTAGTTATTTTACTGTCCTTTGCTGACAGGTATTTTAGAAAGGTTACACATATTCCGTATGTATGTTTAAATTGTTGTAGTCACGATATGGCTGAAATACTGCCGATGTGACTGTAAATCTTGTGATCTTGTGATGTGACTCATTCACCCCCCCCCCCCCCCCCCCCCCCCCTCTCTCTCTCTCTCTCTCTCTCTCGCTCTTTGTGTGGATGAACATGATAAACGAACCAAGCAATCGGAGAACGATGTCACGCAATCAGCAAACTCCTCGAGCCTGTCCACAGATGTATACAACCGATCTATACATCCGATTTGAATAACCGATCTGTACAAGCTTTTATTAATCCACACGGTGTGTATGAGTCTATATCAGTGTATACGTAGATAATTGTCAGGGAACAAACACCTGCTATGAGTGGCGGGTGCCTGCGGTAAGGAAGCATATGCTTACCCTATTCGCGAACACCTGGTGTCGTCATTTATTTTCAGTGATCCATTCATATAATTTTCATTTTAATAATATTTTACCTTTAAGCCCATTGGAGTCTGTTAATGGCAGATAATATATACTGATTATTCTCTCTGTCTCTCTTTCTCTCTCTCTCTTTCTCTCTCTCTTTCTCTCTCTCTTTGTGTGGATTTCTGTGGAGCTATGGAGGCCAGTACATAAGAGGGATAAACATGTCTCCAGGTCGTCGAGTCACAGTTGACAGCACTGGTGGTGTAATAAACGGCTCAGGGGCTGAAATCTACTAAATTTACTCGTTCGCGGTTCATATTTTCAGGCTTCTCAAAGAAAACTGAAACTCATAAACCAACACTTTATTAAGGGTTAGGAGCATACGTGTATGTATTTGTGATGACTACTAATACAAACATCATGGCTTATAATATTAATAACTGGATTATCTTGTCCACTAGATTATTTGCTTGCCCCCTTCGTACGCGTACATTTATAGCTGGAATATTGTTGAGCAGTTGCAGGTGTTTGTTGTTTAACGCCGCACTGATCAATATTACAGGTATATGACGGCGGTCTGTAAATAATCGAGTCTGGACCAGATACCCAGTGATTGACATCACGAGCATCGATCCTTGCAACTGGGAAACGATGACATGCATCAACCAAGTCAGCGAGCCAGACCACCCGATACCGTTAGTCGCCTCTTACGACAAGTATAGTCGCATTTTACGGCAAACATGGGTTGCTGAAGACCTATTCTACCCCGGATCTTCACGGGTCGGAATACTGTTGAGAGTTGCGTTAAACAACAGTAAAAAGGTCGTGTTTAAACAACAGTACAGAACGTTAATCACAGATAAAAAACATGTCCAGATTCACATTTACATGTATTTGTTTTATTTCAAATAAGCGAGGAATCAGACCCCTATCCCACAATACGAGGTGGATCAATTTTTTCAGTGGACAGGACAAAATTCTTGAAGTAGGTGTAGCAGTCACGAGTCGGGGCCCAACTCGAGGTACTTCCCCCAAAGAAGGTTGAGAACAAAATTCCATCAATCATAATGTTAACATTGTTTCTGAAGTTGACATTGTTGATTTCATAGACCTGCCGGCCGTTGTACCACATCTTCGCGAAACCGTCCGTCTTCCCGGGAGTGTTGAGCGTAATGTGTTCTGTGATTGTCTGCCACTTTCCCTTCTGGAACCTCCAGCTCCCCCTCCCGATGGAATTGCCGTAGACGAAGTTGCACTCGACATCATGGCAGAATGATGACACCTGTTCAGAGGGTATATAAGCGTAGATTTCCCCATCCCCGTTCTCCCTCCACATCAGGCGAGCCGTGAAGCACGTGTCGGAATGTGTCCCCCCTGAACAATTCACCCAGCCTCCAAAAAGTCCAGGCAACTTACCTCCCTTGACGAAGTCAAAATTGGGGTCAAAGAAAAGGTCATAGCTTAGGGTCAAGGCCTTCTGTGGAGCCGTTGGCTTAGCATAGAAGCCAAGACCCCTGTGCGAATGGAGCCTGACGTATTGGCCCTTTTCGTAGAACACCCGCAGTACCTTATTTCCCCCTCCTGCAGGGTCATCGACAACTGACCCCGACCCTTCGTCAAACTGACCGTCGGCCAGGGCTTTCCAGTGGTTCAAGTAGTTGTTGGGGTCAAATGACTTCAGTTCCCAGAGGACGTGACCTATAATATTACAATAACATCATGTCACTACATACTTTTTTCTTGCTTTTCTTCATTCTGTTGGAAATTTGTTTTTCTGGTCCTTCATTTAATAAAACTTTTATTTGGCATCGTTTCGGTAATAATTATTCCTCTTTCGTCAAGTGGATCAATATTACTCATGTTCTGGGTGTTTTTCTTTTCGGAATGGTACTTGGTACAACAATAACATTATTATACTTTTATGTCTGAGAAATCAGCTCTACGTGTTTATTTTGTTACATGGCAGTGTATGTTATTGTTTAACAGTGATTGAAGCTGTGTGTTTGGACAGTGATCAGTGGTCAGGAAGTTACTATATGCTAATGTGGTGTGTTAACTTCCGGTCCGGTATACCGCGGACGATGATAGTTTGTTATGGAAACTTCTTCAATGTTCTAGTACCGTTAGACTGGCGAGGGCAGTGTATAGAAATTTTCCAGTAGCTTGTTAGGCTGTATATATAGTGGGACAAGAACGTGTTTACGTATCTCTCACGCATTTTCATCACATCGCAACCAGCTTTCATGTGAGGATCGTTCATCTTCCCTGCTTCCCTGCCTAGTCCTTCTCTGAAGGACATAGCTTGACCACTATCACAGCTAGGTGAATATATATTATTATCACTGACTTTTGCTATCACCACTGTATTTGTGTATTTGATACTGACCGCTGCAATCATAATAGTATACTGTTATTGAATATTGTACTGCAATTCTACGGTGTACTGCCATTGTAATTCATGTCCTGTAATTTGTATTGATTTGTAAACTTAGTGATTTTTTGTAATACATTTGTTGTTTGTATATCACTTGTTTCCTGTCTGTTCTTTTACGTACAGATTTCTGGGTAAACATATTGTTTCATTTTAGGTATCGACACGTAACAATTCACTGTCCCGTTACGTGGCTTTTCCGTCACGAAATCGGACCAAATTTGATGTTTGTCGTAAGTGCTCGCTAAAACATCAATTGAATGGTCAGAATGTGTGATCTGGCTTAGACGGCTACTTTGCGGTGTAAAACAACTCTCACTCTGACCTGTTACAACATTCATCGTGCTGTTACCACTGACCTCTATGGTAATCTGGTGTAGGGGTTGGGCCGTTAACCCCTTCAATGTAAAACTTCATGCTGGTGAGTTTCTGGTCGGTGTAGTCCACCATGAAGTGACCACAGTATTGGCTTCCTGTGGTCAGCTCGCCGTGGCGGGGGCTGTGTTCAATCACATACTCCTTCCCGTTATCCTTGGACTCGACCACAACTCCGGAATAGAACTGCAGACAGATCTCATGTTCATGTTGAATCATGACAAGGGCTATATCACGGCGATGGACACCAGAAATGGGCTTCACTCATTGTACCAATGTCAGGAATTGCAACCGGGTCTTCGGCGTCCGACCGCCCCTAATTAATACAGACAAAATTTCTTACCATACGGTTGACGTCCTCGTTCGCTCTTTTACCATTCGTGTATACACCAGGGCGATTGTTTGTTTGTTTGTTTCACGACGCACTCAGCAATATTCCAGCTATATGACGGCGGTCTGTAAATAATCGAGTCTGGACCACACAATCCAGTGACTGACATCATGAACATCGATTCACGCAAATGGGATACGATTACATGCATCAACCAAGTCAGCGAGCCTGACCACCCGATCCGGTTAGTCGCCTTTTACGACAAGCATGGGTTTTTCTACCCGTATCCTTACGGGTCTTTGCATAAATACAGTATATTCGCGCGCGTGCACTTAGCTGGAATATTGCAGAGTGCGGCGTTAAACAACAAACAAACAAATCATATCTACAGAAGTTGTTAAATCGTACAATATATAATTTAAGTGTACAAAACCTTGGGGCGGTCGGGTAGCCTTGTGGTTAAAGCGTTTGCTCGTCACGCCGAAGACCCGGGTTCGATTCCCGACATGGGTACAATGTGTGAAGCCCATTTCTGGTGTCCCCCACCGTGATATTGCTGGAATATTGCTAAAAGCGGCGTAAAAACATACTCAGTCAGTCAGTCAGTACACAAACCTTCATGTTGTTAGTCGGATGGTCAAAGAAGAGATGTGCTCTCCAGTTGAGGACGCCATGTGTGACTGGCATGCAGAACTCCGACTTGATAGTGTTCCCCCAGGAGTCGGTGAAGGGGAGGTCAATCATTTCCGACACCCCCGGGGAGGTGAAGATGGGGAGGAGGAAGAGAGTGATCAGCAGCATCCTAAGGAGCCAAGATTTAGACAATAGCGCAGTCGTGAGGCAGTTTGAATATACATTGTATAAACATCGTCAATATTTAAATCGTCCCCCGATACCACATAGGACCTATTCGCGGTGTCTTCCAGTGAATGTTCCGGCCAGATTACATAGCACAGTCGAACTGTGAAGATTCCGGGTTGGAATTGGTCTTCAGCAACCCATGCGGCGATTATGCTTGTCGTAAGAGGCGACTAACGGGATCGGGTGGTCAGGCTCGCTGACTTGGTTGATGCATGTCATCGTTTCCCAATTGCGTGGATCGATGCTTATGATGTCAATCACTGGATTGTCTGGTCCGGACTTGATTATTTACAGACCACATATGTCTAGCTGGAATATTGCTGAGTGTGGCGTTAAACAAACAAATACAAATTGCACAATATTTCACGTGCAACATGTGCCATAGCCTTGTGAGCAACTTCACTGGACATTGCATCAAAACAAGACAGTGGTATGGTTTGCACAACTGGGTTCATTTGCCGCCTGCGAGTTATAAGATTACTAATTAAAACAGTCACACGCCACTACTACACAGAAAAGCGGCCCTATGTATTGACGGGTCAAATAATATCACAATATAATGGATGGATAATACCATGGAGTTTACATCTTGACAAATACACAACATTCACAAACAACCTAAGTACATACGTGCTCTGCCGAACCGTTAACGTACCTACTGAGAGATCTTCGTGTAGCGTGAGATCCTTACCAGCTGTTTAGATCAGGTCAGGAATAGTTAACAGTCAGGTCACATTGTATGAGACCTTTCAGAAAAATGCTGCCTTGGAAAAATGATCAGGTGCAATCCGCTTCAGCACTTGTATAATCTGGAACAGCTGTTGAGTAATGCTCTGTGTAATGCCGTATTTGAATTCAAGCCTTTCGCCCTGGAAACGCAACTCATAAAAAGTATAAATTCCTTGATCAGCAAAAGGCACTTTTTTATGAAATCCTAGAAGGGACATTATCGCATTGTCGCCCTTACAGAAACAAGCCAAAAATGTCAAAATTAACCAAAGCGCTACAATGCGCCAACGCGATATTTTGGCCATGTGGCGCTTTGCGGCATGTCGCGTTGTCGCGCTTTGAATAATATATTCTTATTTTACCAAAGGGCGACAACGCGACAATGTCCCTTCTAGGATTACATACTTTTCTAATACGTTTGCAGACTGTGAAGAACTTTTGTTTGGGGGATATCCGAAAGGGTTTGACTTATTGACTGTGTGTGAGTGAATATTGTTTCAGGTTGAATTTATAATTACAGCATCAATACCACCGTGGTGGTCACCAGACGAAAGCACCCTTGTGGGGGAATGAAACCCGGGTCTACGGAGGGACGAGGCGACACCTTTACCACCGGTGTACTCCACTGGCCCTTTGACACACAGTAAGTAATTATGTGAAGGATAAAACACGACCCCGGGGTTTTGGATATAAATATAAAACCGCGAGCGAGGGAAAAGCCCAAGGGCCGTTCCAGAGCTCGAGGTGTTTTACCAACTTATGAACCGTCTAAATACAAGAAATACCAGAGAAAAATAAGAAACCATCGGGGTACCTTTATAGTGAAACTATGCTGTGTGTCGCGGTAAAAAGGGGATTCAATGAACCACGTGCAGTCGTCAAACCAACAAAAGTCATGACATGTAAAATTGAACAAACTTTCATCACCAGCCCGTCAGTTGGAAATCGTGCGTTACACAACTTACCACGATATGTGAGGTTGAAGTTTCGATTCCCGTCATCCATAACGAAAAACTTTGATAATAGTAATGACTCAACTCATCAGGTCCTACTATGGAAAAAACACACCTCATGTCCGGGATGTGGTCTCACTAGGAAAAAGCATGTTGCTGATGCTTTTTGTCATCACGAAGCAATATTTACTGCCAGGTAAATGCAGGTAAGTGCCAGCACGTGTGTGTGGCTGCTTGTACCAGTCCGGACTGATGCCGATTTATAGTGCTAGCTCACTGAGATACCATGCCGCAGTTTAACATGAATACCCCACTCAGACACAGTATACTGACTCCGAGCCGACCAGTCCTTGTTTTAGTCCCTTAATGCCGAGCGCCAGACAGGGTACCTCTAGATCTAGACCACGGTGGCGGTCGGTCTAAACAGACAAACCAGTGATTGAAAGCATGTGCAACACCCCACACTATCGGGGCACGTTGCCACCGAGTCGGGCCATTTCGTTTATTTTGTCCCCGATACACAAGAATACATAGCTCCTTTGTAACCCCCTTTTTTCCTCTCTTTTTTTCTTCTTTTTTTTGGTGGGGGCGGGGTGTTACGGATTTTAATAGTGAAAAACTTGGGTCCTTCTAAATATTACTGGGGCGGTCGGGTAGCCTAGTGGTTAAAGCGTTCGCACGCCACGCCGAGGACCCAGGTTCGATTCCCGACATGGGTACAATGTGTGAAGCCCATTTCTGGTGTCCCCCGCCTGATATTGCTGGAATATTGCTAAAAGCGGCGTAAAACCATACTCACTCACTCACTCTAAATATTACTAATCTATAGTATGACGATGCCATTGTCATTATCTTTATTGTCAAATCAGTTTTTACTGTCGGCGGTCTTAAAAAAAAACACCTAGTCATTCTGATATTGTTTTTGAGAATTGTCGATTTTTAAGGACGACGCATCCGTGGACCAAGCAAAGAAATGAGATTACTAGTCCATTATTAGATAAGAGATTATTAAAGTACGCGAGACCAAAAGCAGGGAAAATCGATCACTTTACACGTCATAAGTGTTTTCTTGAACATCTGGAAAACTGCTGACGCAAACATGAGCACTTTTCACTTATAGTAACAAATAACAGCACTTTATATTGTGTGTGAAGAAGAGATGCAGATGGAGCTATGCTATCCTCGGATGGAGCGGCGTGTTAATGCAGTTAAACCTTTAACTTTCGTTCTACTGTCTAAGTCCAATACCATCAGCCCTTACAAATAAGTGCACGTGTGTCAGCACTGCCTATCGACCCCGACGTGCGTGAGTGTTCAGACGTTTTACGCTTCTCAAGCAAAATTCATTACTGAATTAATAAAGACGATGTAACTACGTTTGTCATGAACATTTAATAACAATGTTTACAATAAGTGTTGTTGGGTTCAAGGACATATTTCCTTGTACGTTGTAGGGAGCTGATGAACCAGAGAGAGATGCTCCAATGCTGGAATGAGGAAAATGTGGTTTACAACAAAATAACTACACTGTTGAGTTCAAAAGTTACAACGCCAGTGGATGACGTCATATGACGTCACGTTGCACTATATGCCCTAAGACCTACGACGTCATCATACAATGGAATTGTGTAACATTATCACAGTAAGAATATCTAACCGAATACTATCTTGCTAAAAGCGGCGTAAAAACCTCACTCACTCACTCACAGACTCAAAGAATTGGAAACGTTTTGTATAAAACGATTTGATTAAATACATAGGTGGAAGAGTGATCTGTGTAGGCCAAATATCCACTATTGGTAGACGCGCACGGAGCGGACCGCGATCTCCAGACAAGGCTGGAATAACTGCGCCATGCGCTGATGAGCTCCTGGAGGCAGAGACGGACTACGCATATAGCATATAGATAGAAGTAGTTTGAACTTACTAACTTACTTACTTACTTAGTAATACTTACTTACTTACTCGAGTCTGGACCAGTGATTGACATCATGAACATCGATCCACGCAATACGGATACGATGACATGCATCAACCAAGTCAGCGAGCCTGACCACCCGATCCCGTTAGTCGCCTCTTACGACAAGCACAGTCGCCTTTTACGGCAAGCATGGGTTGCTAACAGGCGATCTAAGAGTGAGTATCCTGCTTGCATTCGTATCCCGACGGCGCGGATCGTTGCACACAGTCTGAATTATTTACTCATTTATTTACTCAATTATTTACTCAATTATTAATCGTTATCAAAAGGCGTATATCAAATCACGATTCGAACCGCGCCGTCATAATCCAAGTACAATCATACGCACCTGCTGTAGAGGCCTGCATACCGGCGTTGTAGTCGCACGCAACTTCGTTCTTGACGTAGTCTTTTCTGTCGTCGGTGTAGCTGTCGTCTTTACCGGGGCCGCCCACCATGGCGCCGTACAGGGTGTGGGGGTTGGGACCCTTGTTGGTCTGGGACTCCCAGTTACACGGCGCCGGTAGCATGGGGCAGGAACTGAAGCACACACCACAAGTGTGATCAGTCTGGTGTTAGAATGTATTTCATGACAATGGTTTGTATTTATATCAACGAGTATGACACCATTGTTCGTTGCATTATGTCTAACTTCTATTCTGTTATTACAAATGCCCTGTATGCATTAGGTTACCCGAACTTAGGAAGCAATGTGCACTTGTTACCTTAGTGACGATTTCTGTGATCATCTTCCCGAGGCAAGGGCATTAACTGACTGTGAAAGTCAAGTTTCCACCCTTGCCGAACCAGGCTGGAATTCCTCCTGAAGCCCTCATTAACGCTTTCAAAACGTTTTAAAGTAGTAGTGTAGAAATTTCCAAATTTGACAAAAATCATATCCGATGCAGTTCCCTATTTTGACATATTCCATATGTTTCCGGTGAACATGGGGATGAGGGCACAAACAATACGGATGGTTGTATCAGGAGCAGATAACTCTACCTGGCTCTGTGATGTGGATTCTTTGGGGGGTTAACTCCGTAGCCCACCACGTAACTTCTTCCGGTGTCGCCGTACACGTAGTGCAGCTGCGTCATCGCCCACTTCCGGTACGAGTCGGTGTTGATGCCGTCATCGGCGGCGACCAAAGCGATGAAAGCGGTGTTAGCTGGAATATATTGAAATGTAGCAAATAGGGGCGACAGTGCAGTATCCTGGGGTGATGGAATATCTTTATGGTTAAAACGTTCGTTTGTCATACCATGGCCCGAGTTTGCTTCCCTAATTTTGTAAAAGCCTATTTCTGGTGTCCCCCGCTGTGATGTTGCCGTAAAAGTGGAGACAACATCACTCACTCACTCACTCACTCACTCACTCGTGTGTAGTGATGCCCTAAAGGTTTTCTTCTACAGTATTTGAATCTGCACCTACAAGTCCTTACTACAACCTGAAAAATATCTTTCATCGATTAAGACTCACTCACTCACTCACTTTCACTCACTCACTTACTCACTCACTCTCCCTTACTCACTTACACACTCACTCACTCACTCACATGGAGTGAGACACATCATTATAACAAGCAAATGTGCTTTACAATTAAATCCATACAAGAATGCACACACGATCACGTTCGGGAATATAAGTCAAGGCATGTTCCTGAGTGAGTTGCTCAAGAATTTTCCCGTTATTTTAAAAAAACTCAGCCTGAACCAAACAAACCAGTGACTGAAAGCATGAACAACGATCCACGAAATCGGGGAACGATGACATGCAATCAGCAAACTGCACCGAGCCTGTCTACTGATCAATACAACCGAAGCTATGACTAATCCCCACGGTGAGTATAAGCAATGTATAGGTAGGTTATAGTCCGGCAACACACACTTGATGAGTGACGGGTGCCAGGGGTAAGCCGTTTCACGAATACCCGGACTCGTCATTTATTTTCAGTGATCCCTTCATATACCTTTCATAAATATGTTGCTTTTACGCCCACTGGGGTCTGTGTAATGGTGGATAATCGATACTGATTATTCTCTGGCGTTGACATATATTTATATTACTCAAGTCTTCAAGCATGATCTCTGTATCACGTATGAGACTGTAACGTGGAACATATCTCCGGAAATTGTTGGACACACGCACACACACACACACACACACACACACACACACACACACACACACACACACACACACACACACACACACCAAAGATGGCCCCGTCACAAACACATGCAAAGGCAAGTCAATTGTTCAACCTACATGCATACCGAAGGGCTCCCCACTCCAGTCTGAACGCCATGCATTTGGGGGTATATACGATCTCCTGGCCCCCGGGAAACCACATCTTGAACGTGTCTTCAATGTGACTCTTGTACAAGTCTTTCTTCGTCGCCTCATACAGCAGCACCTGGGGAGAGTACCACTGACGTCAACGCATGGTAATGTTTCTGTATGTTTGCACTCAGCAATATTTGAACTATATTACGGTTCTATATTCTGTAAGTAATCGAATCTAGACCAGACAATCCAGTGAGTGTTATCATGAGCATCGATCTACGCATCTGGGATACTGTGACATGCATCAGCTAAATCAGCGAGCCTAACTACCCGATCGTCTCTTACAACAAGTATGGGTTGCTGAAGACCAATTCTAACCCGGTTTCTGTTTGTAGAAACATGATGACGGCTCTCTATATTAAAATAATATCATTGAAAATCCTGTATAATCCTACATCCTTTAAAAGCTGTTGACCAGAATTGTAATTTTGACACCCGTCACAAACGCATGCAAATCTCACTTAAGGTAAGTCAATTGTTCACCTACGAATAGCACAGGAAATTGTCTTGGACCTTTGAAGCTAGAGATGTAGCCTAGTGACAAATGCCCCATGTCTCAAATAATATCTGTGAGTACACAGTTCGTGCTCCCTTATTTTGTATTAAGGATAATGGGTAATCTTTGACACGGGAATAAGGTGGTACATTGGTGAACCCAGCAATCTATCTCTTAAAAGGAAGTTTTATGGCGCTTTAGAATCCATTACTAATACTAAAGATGAAAGGATGTCTTCATGATTCAGAGTCAAGCGAAAAGCCAATCCATGTGGAATATTTACAATGAAAAGAAGAAAAATGTTCACTGAGAGATTATATACAAGAACGAACTAATCCCTCGTGGCTTTAGAAGTGTCCGAACATGTGAATAGTGACAGTGTAAGAGGAAATTATTGAGGTAAACTCCCGTACCCTGAATCCCGAAACAATGTAAGGTTATACCCTGACTCTCCTTGCTCCCTTCTGAATCCCTAATACCACTGCACGTAAATCTCAAAAGCATTAAGAAAACCGTACGGTTTGGCGTTTACTGAACAATAATGAAAACTAAAATACATATAGAAGATTTTAGACGTTAAATCTGCATTACAAAAACGGTTTTATATGGTAAATTGCCATTGGAATATAGATTCAGCATAAACGCCATCTGACCTTAACTCTCTTCATCGCCAATCATGACAAGATTATTACATGTTTACGAAATGTAGAAATCAAACTCACGAGCCTAAGGGAGATAACTTTCATTAAAATTAAATTCCTGCTGGTGTGGGTTTTTCTATTTTCAATTCAATCTCCATTTGTCATGTTCCAATTGATAGAATTTATTCGAAATACTTTGAACATGGTGTACTATTGTGTTGAGGGCCTCCTTGAAAAGAAGGGCAGTAGTGTTTTACTGAAGATCGTTTGCGAAGTGACGTAAATATCTTTAAACATTTATTATGTGGCAATATACTTTATTCCTTACAATGAATGTAACTGTGTTACATTGTTTCTGTTGAGATTCGGTAGACGCTCATTGCATTGTGTTTGGACAGTGATCAGTTGTCAGGAAGTTACTATATTTTTATGCTCGTGTGGTGTGTAAACTTCCGGTCATAGTGTGTTATAGAAACACGTGGAATAGTCTTTGTTGTGAGGGCACTGTGTAGAAGTTTCCAGTAGCTTGTAATGCTGTTTATAGAGTGGGACAAGAGCGTGTTTTGGGGTCACAATTTTCATCACATCAAGACCACCTTTCGTGTGTGGATCATTCATCACTCCTGAATCCCTGCCTTGGCCCGTTTCGGAAGCTTGACCACTGTCGCCACTTGGAGAATACATATTATTATCACTGACTTCTGCTATCACCACTGTATTTTTGTATCTGATACTGACCACTGTCACCATATTATATATTGCCATTGAATATTGTACTACCATTCTACTGTGTACTGTCATTGTAATTACTGTGCAGTAATTTGAGTTGATTTGTAAACTTAGTTAATTTTGTAATATATTTTTTGATTGTATACCACTTGATGGTTGTTGGTTGGTTTCACACTAAGTTCTTTTACGTACAGATGTCTGGGTTAAAATATTGTTTCTATTTGGGAATCGGCACGTAAGTACATACATTTGCACCATCAATCTTCTCGTCCCACGAGAAGCCCCACGCGGACTTGTTCATGAAGTGTTGCTCTGCATAGTCCAGATACTGCTTGTCGCCGGTAGCCTTGTGCAGCCACATCCCTCCCCAGCTGTTTTCATCAGCATCAGACTGGGATCTGAAACGACGAGGATGTTACATGATTGATATAAACCAGCTCGAACTGACATCCCTGATAAATGTGCACCAGAGTGCAGTTAATCACGTTCTAACAGAGTTAGTGAGTGAGTGAGTACGGTTTTACGCCGCTTTTAGCAATATTCCAGCAATATCACGGCGGGGGACACCAGAAATGGGCTTCACACATTGTATCCATGTCGGGAATCGAACCCGGGTGTTCGGCGTGACGAGCGAACGCTTTAACCACTAGGCTACCCGACCGCCCCTCTAACAGAGTTAGTGAGTTGGTTATTACGATGCTTTGTAAATCTGGAAATATTAATGTGTATCAGTTCACCAAATAGAACAAAAGAACGTCAGGCCTTCTCGAGGAGTTGAAATAATGATTTTTAAGTGGATGTTTGTTTGTTGTTTAACCGATGCGCTCAGCAATATTCCAGCTGTATGACGGCGGTCTGTAAATAATCGTGAAAGTAGTTGTATCTATCGTAAGTGTCGATGTGGTTTTACGTGTGGATCCACGTGTGAACTGGTGTACTGATGAAGGTGCACTAGCCGCAGGTGTACTTATTGCAACTGTCATGGCCGTAGCTGCACTATTAATAATGTGTTTAATTCGTGTTGTACTGTGCTTCAGTGTATTGGTCTGGTCGTGCGGTAAGTGGTTGTTGATGTTCTTGTTGCCTGCGTCCTCGTCGTAAGTGTATTCGCCGGAAGTGTATTCGTCATAAATGTATTCGTCGTAAATGTATTCGTCGTAAGTGTCCTCGTCGTAAGTGTCCTCGTCGTAAGTGTATTCGTCGTAAGTGTTCTCGTCGTAAGTGTATTCGTCGTAAGTGTATTCGTCGTAAGTGTATTCGTCGTAAGTGAACTCGTCGTAAGTGTATTCGTCGTACATGTACGAGGTGTACGCACGTGTAGAAGCCGGCAGCAGCTGAGACACTGGCGCTGTATTTCCCCTGGTGAGCCTTGCCGAACTCAAACAGCTGCTTGGCGTGTGTCAGCAGGGTGGCCGAGTAGACGGGGTCTATCATGACAAAAGGTTTCAGTTAACCTTTTCCAATTACAATGAAACATTAAACACTTTTTTTGTATTCATGTCATCCTAGTTTTTACACAACGTCAACGCCAGAGAAATTACAGTCTCGGTTATCTATCGGACGGGAAATGCAAAATGACTGAGAACATTTTATGAATGAGTGAGTGACTTGGTTTTAAAGCTTTGAACCATATTCCAGTCATATCACGGCGTGTCAGCTTAGTGTGGGAGGAAAGCCCATAGTGATGCAGGTCACGTTTACCACTTTGGTGAAGCCCGCGAGCATGGGTATGGTGCTGACAAACCTAGAAACATGATCAGGGCGAACCGGGATTTGAACCCACAATCATAGGTTCCTGGCGTCCCAAGTTACGCAACTCATAGCGAATTGCGGCGCCTGAGACAACTAAGTCATCCGTGCCCCGCGTGAGAAAGGAAGTGTTGACACATTTATGTTTGTTTCATGTTGTTTAACGACGCACTCAGCAATATTCCAGATATATGTCGGCGGTCTGTAAATAATTGAGTCTGGACCAGACAGTCCAGTGATTGCCATTATGAGCATCAGTCTACCCATTTGGGATACGATGACATGCATCAACCAAGTCAGCGAGCCTGACCACCTGATCCCGTTAGTCGCCTCTTACGACAAGCACGGTCGCCTTTTAGGACGAGCATGGATTGCTGAAGACCTATTCCGTCCCGGATTTTCATGGGCCGACACACACAGGCACTGAACCATGTCTATTTGCACAAAGCCATGTGGTGCTACGGGAATCGTCGCTTCGATACAGCGTAGGCAACAGTCCCAGCGCTGCAGTCACTTTGTGTAAGTGGACCCAGTAATAAAGGAACAAGTAATCTGTTTATACCCCTCTTCTTGAAGGCAATTGACCCAGCGGCCATGGCAGCAGCTGTCTCCATGGCGAGGTCCGATCCAGGCTTGGAGGCGTCGATCTTGTAGGATGGTCTCGGCTCTGTCATGCGCTCTGGGCTGGTCCATGTTCCGTGGTCCGACCCGCCATTGCCAACCTGTTGTCATAAAGTGTTCACGGTCATGTTGATTTGGAATATAGTGCAAAAGGATATAACTAATAACCAACAAAGAAAACATGATTGTCTCACATCAGTGTTTTGATACGTGATTGTCTGAATGGAGTTTTTTGAGATTTTCATGGAAATGCACAGTTTTAACAGTTCACTGCAAATAGATTTGTCTGAACTTAATGAATCTAGTCTTTCCTACTTTCCGTCGCATTGTCGAGATATTTGCCATATATTCTCCAACGATGGTTAAAACAAAAATGACAGATAGAATTCCCTTTAGTAGTGAGTGAGTGACTTGGATTTGACGTTGCTTTGAACAATATGCCAGTTATATCACGGAAGTACCAGTTTGCTGTGTGAGGAAAGCCAGGTTCATCCACCTATCCACTAGGTGAAGAAGGCCTTATCCACTAGGTGAAGAAGGCCTTATCCACTAGGTGATGAAGACCTTATCCACAAGGTGATGAATGCCTTATCCACTAGGTGAAGAAGGCATTATCCACTAGGTGAAGAAGGCCTTATCCACTAGGTGATGAAGACCTTATCCACAAGGTGATGAATGCCTTATCCACTAGGTGAAGAAGGCATTATCCACTAGGTGATGAAGGCCTTACCCGCTAGGTGATGAAGACCTTATCCACTAGGTGATGAAGGCCTTACCCGCTAGGTGATGAAGGCCTTATCCACCAGGTGATGAAGGCCTTATCCACTAGATGATGACAAACCAGGAAACATCCTCGGAACATAGGCACGCCTATGGGGCGCAACTACGAATTCCTGCGCCTTAGACGATTGTCCACTCATAAAGTATGTTAAGTGAGTAAGTATGGTTTTATTCCGCTTTTGGCAATATTCCAGCAATATCACGGCGGGGGACACCAGAAATGGGCCTCACACATTGTACCCATGTGGGTAATCGAACCCGGGTTTTTCGCGTGAGGAGCGAACGCTCTAACCACTAGGCTACCCCACCGCCCCTGTAAAGAGAGGGACTGTGTGGTATGTAATAAGGATATAACATTGTGGATGTATGGTTCTCATATAATTAATAATAATTAATTAAATCTTTGAAAATTCGGGAATAGTTATGACCACCATTAACACATTATGTAGCATAATATTAATCATATTTAAGCTCGTCTACAAATGTTACTGTGGTCTTATTCATCTGTATCCCAATGTGCATACACTCTACAAAAAAAGAAACGCACAGTTAGTATGTAGTTCATTGAACCCGACTACACAAAACATCTGATATATAAATTGGATATATATTATTGGAAAATGGTGGTAGCCTGATATTCGACATCCGGTGCGTCAAGGGAGGAGATGCATAGTCGTAAATTTCAACTTGTGACTATCGAGCTCCAAAAATTCATATTTGTATCTATGCTATTAAAATATATAAATATTCATTTTATTAGGTACAATAAATTCACTAAAAATCTACATGTGCGTTTCTTTTTTTGAAGAGTGTATTTAGAAAGGACAATACTAAAAAAACATTTGACCCCATTACGTATTAATAATAATAATAAGTGCATTTATATTGCACCAGATTGCATTCACCAAGTGGATGCTCATAGCGCTACACTATTATTACCCAGGTCAATGGATCAGTGAGCACTCGATTTTCATTTTTTTTTTCGATATTACAAAGGCATCAGTCTACCAATCAATCTATTGTCTATTGTTACATGTTAAATTGTTTAAAGGCATTACTTAGAAGGTGACGACAAAGTAGACACAATTTATGGATAACAACTTCTTTTACTGTGAAGGCGACTTACGGTACAGATTGTCAAAGCGTTGTGAAGCAAAGCTGAGTAATCGGTACGTAATTGGGGATTTTACGTGCGCTTTTCCCACATAATGCATAACTCGCACACGGGCCCGCCAGGCCATTAAGTTGGTTTGCCGAGGTGGGTATGTCCGAAAAGGTGAGGCAATCTGGGGGGCGTGGGGGTTGCTTAGTTAAATTTCGAGAAATTTGGAATTTAGAAGCTTTGCCAGAGGTTGAGAACTAAGAGGGATGTGGTTGTGTGGTACTGAGTTTGTGTTTTTAGGTTTTTAGATTAATGGTAATTTCAAGTTTGCAGGTTATTATATGCGGCCTAGTAGGCCGGTTTTAATTAGGAAGATACATAATGCTTTGAAGATGTGTGTATCGTTTAGCGGATTTAGAAGTGTTGGTAGTGTTAGTTGAGTGTTGCAGTCTAGTTTGGTTTGGAGTGTTGTTCTGTGTTGTGTGTAGTGCGTGCAGTGTTGTAAGTACGTCTTCTGGTGTTCCTTGCCGGTTGCAGTGTGGGCATTTACATGATCATGTGTTTGTTTATTTTATGTAGCTATGAGTTTAGTTTGTGTGACTTGTTTGTAGTTTGGTTATTGCCCCGTCAATAATTTTGAATTTATGGTGTATTTTTACTTTTTTGAGTGACCTTTGGAGCATTTAGTATATTTTATAGTTTGAGTTTTGGTACTTGTTTTGCCACTTTTGCAAAACAATTCCTTAGCAACGCTTTTCATCTCGTTTTTTTAAAAATTTGTATGATTACTAGGCTTTTTCTGGCAATTTAAGGGTTGCTTTGGCTGCTTGGTCAGCGTGTTCGTTTCCAAACACTCCGACATGGGCAGGGAGCCTGAGGAATTCTTTCTGTTGGCCAAGTTTGCTGAGTTGGTTTGAGCTTTTAAGTATTTGGTGTATGAATAATGAGCATGGTACAGAATATATATAATAGATGGAGGATAATTGTAACAACAATTGCATACTTGAGATAGATTGACATGAGTAGGTTAAGTAATGAGAACAGAAGGATAACACTGTAACATCGTGATGGGCAGAGAACACGTACATGATGAGGAAGCCAAGGAGAAGCCAAGAAAACAGGATGAGTTTACATAGTTGGGGTGATTATTGCTTAATATATTCATAGAAGTCGTATAAGGATGAAATAGCCTTGATCTCTGTTGATTAATGGCATTATTCAGCTAGCCTTGCTTCACAACGGTATAAGGATCTATACCGAAACGTCGCCTTCATAGTAAAAGAAGTTGGCCATAAATTGTGTCTACAATATTGTTACAGGTGTTTTGTGTGGACACTGTCAGTGAGTGGCCAATCTTGAAAGCAAATTTTATCAATACTATCAAGCTTGTTATTGGCTTCTAATTATTGATACAAATAGTGAGTTTGGTTTTACGCCGCTTTTAGTAATATTCCAGCAATATCATGGCGGGGGACACCGGGAAATGGGCTTCACACATTGTACCCATGTCGGGAATCGAACCCTGGGCCTTGGCGTTACGAGCGAACGCTTTAACCACTAGGCTACCCGACCGCCCCTTGATACTGAGTGACTGACAGCTGAGTATTGTCACATCGGCAATATTTCAGCCATGTGACTAAATCAAGTTATATATTAATGATACACGAAACTGAACTATAAAACCTGTTGACAAAGGACAGTAAACTAGATTTTCACAAATGTAGATTTAAAACTAGCAGGTCACCATAAAATTTATACTATTCATAACAATACACAATAACCATGGGCTATAGATCACCAACAAATAAAGGTAGGTCACCATACTAGGTACTATGGGGACTTACGGTACTTCTGCTACCTGTATGGTACCACAGCCGGATTTACACTATCCCTCTGGCTACTGGTGATTGTTAGTAAGTTTAAGCCAAAAGCATTTAAAAACAACAAGTATTCTACAATTAAAACCATGGAAAATGAAACATACTTTGAATAAAGTGGGACTTACGTATCCTTTCGGGGGGGACAATTATTTTACGTTACTTCAACCCCCTTTGAAATTCAGCCACTAACAATCACAGTTATATAATCATTCTACCAAATTAAAATCACATACCTTTTTACAATACATATTATCCAAATGTATCTATTAACTATATTCGAGAGATTTCTGATCGCTACATGGGGTCATACAACCTAAACCTATATGTGAGTCTACCCCTAAAGATCCGTGTAGTAGAGAATAGGTTCAGCAACCCATGCTTGACGTAAAAGGTGACTATGCTTGTCGTAAAAGGCGACTAACGGGATCAGGTGGTCAGGCTCACTGACTTGGTTGATGCATGTCATCGTGTTCCAATGGCTGGATCGATGCTCATGATGTCAATCACTGGATTGTCTGGTCCAGACTCGATTATTTACAGACCGCCGTCATATAGCTGGAAAATTGCTGAGTGCGGCGTTAAACAACAAACCAACAAAATGTATGGTGAGTGTGTGGTTCACCTGTGCGTATAGCTCGTTCGGCTTGGTGTGGCACTTGATGAAGTAGTCCAGAGGCCACTTGATGCACTCGTACATCTTCTCCAGCTGACCCGTCTTCTCGTAGGCGTCCTTGTATCTGATGAGACTCCAGGTCAGGAGGGTCGTGCTGAAGGCCATGGGGAAGTTGAATTTGACGTTGTCTCCAGCTGCAGACAGATGGGTGAGATGAATAAACTTATTAAAATTTTAATTTAATTAGATTAGAATCATGATTAGAAGCTCAAGGGTTTTCAAAATAAATCATGTTTCATTCGGTTTTGGACCAAATACAATACCTCATTATCATAAATACAAGAGAGAATCACATATTCAAGGTACAGGTGATGTTAATGATATACATTATAAGACTTCCCTAACATATCCTTAACACTTTTCTCATTCCAAGAGTTTTAGACGACTGTTACCTTCTGCTTTTCGTGAGCTTTTATTATTTTAAACTGAACAAATATAACATAAAAATTTAACGCCGGCGAATTTGCAGTCTCGATTATTCGACGAAACAGATTCCACTTGGAATAATAGGGAAAATGGTATAAAAGGATAATTATTTGAATTAATCACTGAAAATCAGGATCGCGAAAAAATCATATATCAATGGAATCCATATCATCTACTTTATGGTTAAACATACACGAATATATCCATAATATAATGCTGGACGTCCTCTCACAACGCGAAATGCACTGATGTTGCACGTTCCAGTTCTAGCACTTTTGCAGATCCAACCCTCGGAGTTCCAGGTTGAAGTAGATGAGATAGTCAGGAACAAATGCTGACACTAAGCGGCGACTGTTGGGTCGGGTGTTCAGGCTCCGTGACTGTTGCGTGTCATCGACGGCGGCGTGGATCGATGCTCATGATATCAATCACTGGATTGTCCTTTCCAGACCGGATTATTTACAGGCTGCTACATCACTGGACTGCGATTTTAGTCTCTCTAGAGATGAAAGGACCTGTTGACAGGGCTTCCATCATAACATCCCCCAGTGAGGTCCTCCCCATTATCTCCCCTGTCTCCTAACGCCGAGTCCCCCTCCCTCTGTACAGTGGAACTCACCGTCATACCATCCTCCAGTGAGATCCTCCCCGTTAGCCCCCTTGTCTCCCAGGGCGGAGTCCCCCCTCCAGGGGATCCTGTTGTCAGCGGGGAGTTTCCCGGATCTCTGAGCCTCGTAGAACAGGATGGACTTCATCAGGATCTCCCCATAGTTGTACTTGGTAGTCTGGGCTCCTGGGGACATGCAACACCGACACTCGTACTAATGTCCAACTTACATATGAAGTAATGCATGTAAATGATCGAAGATAAAATATTCAAACCAATTCCAATACTTTCAGTATTACCGATCAGGCAAATGGTTTCAATGCTTGAAAACTGATGCCATTATCCCTTTTTGTTCGAAGTGAGCACTAAAAGGGTATACATGTATATGTACCTGTTATTGTTTGTTTGTTTTGTGTTTAACGCCGTACTCAGCAATATTACAGCTATATGACGGCAGCCTGTAAAAAATCGAGTCTGGACCAGACAATTCAGTGATTGATATCATGTGCATCGATCCACACAATTGGAACACGATGACATGCATTAACCAAGTCAGCCAGCCTGACCATCCGATCCCGTTAGTCGCCTCTTACTACAAGCATAGGCCCCTTAAGGCAAACATTGGTTGCTGAAGGCCTATTTAACCCCGGATCTTCACGGGTCGTACCTGTTATTACGGGAAGATGTGGCAACGTTTGTCCGTCGTTGGTGACGTCCACAAGAACCCCTGTTCCCGCAGGAACGCCGCCGCCACAGACGTTGCCAGACATCTTGATACAGTACTGACTTCCTCCATAGTGAATGCCCATGTAGTTGTGGTTGACCATGACGAAGTGCTTGGCGCACGAGGATGAGGCTCCCAGCACATCCCCCTCCGAAGTCTGAAGTAGTGATTGAGTTAGGCAAAGCTTCAGTTATACTGTCTGCTTGTCAGTTTAATATGGGAGTAAACTTCAAAGCGGTAAATGTAACAGAGTTTATGCTTTCGTGAGACCAATGAGGACGAGCTCGAGTATGGTACCGACAGATGGAGCATCATAGGTTCCAGGATCCTTGCACGGCAAAGGGACACTACTGTGTATGATTAATTGTATCGAGGTAGACTAGTGGGCTTAGTGGGCTTGGTTAAAAATAAATCATTATTTGAAATACTTTTAATTTGACTGTCATGATTGAGGTCAATTGTGTAACAGTGTGCTTCTCATCCTACCGTCCAGCCAAATGGGCCCTGTGCCCAGTAGAAAGTCATGCCTAAATATCAATTTTCATAATTTGTTCTTTTTATTATTATTTTTACCAAACATGGTAACTATGATTATGTTATCATAAACATATTTATGTACAGCTTGGTATGATGTGCGCTCGGGACATACGAGTCTTGTTACCTGAAACTTTTGGAGAAGATCATTCTGAAAAGAAATCAGGTTTGCCTTTTCATCAAGGTAATAATGATAAGAAATGTAAACCTCCTCACTGAGATTCCCTTTACATCAGACGTGAAGTCCAGGATTAACTCCCAGCCCACGATCTCATCCTTCAGGTCAAAACAGACTTGTCCTTCCCACATGTCCCCGCGGTGAGTCGTCACCGTCAGCGGGGCGGTCAGGTTGTGACCCACATGGTATGGCTTCAGACCAGCTGGAAAACAAAAATCATGAGGTATTAGTGCCCGTTGTTACTACCGTTTTGGTGAAACTATAATGACATTTCTTTCAAGCTATCGACCAATTTGAAATATTAAAATAATTGGCCATGTAATTATGTACCTAAACGTGAACACTCCCTACCCACCTCTCTCTCTCTCTCTCTCTCTCTCTCTCTCTCTCTCTCTCTCTCTCTCTCTCTCTCTCTCTCTCTCTCTTCTCTCTCTCTCACACACACACACACACACTCAAACACATACACACTCACATACATACACACACACTCGCGCGCTCACACACACACACACACACACACACACACACACACTCAGAGCTTCAGTTTCCGCCTCTCTTGTGACTGACGAGTATATACATGTATATATTTTACGACACTTTATTAACTTGCGAGAAATTCTCACCCGCGAATGTTATCTTTACTACTCGGCCGTGAAATATATACCTTAACTGAAACGTATAATTTCTCAAAGCAGTGTACAGTGTATCCGAATAGCGCTAGTAACACCAAAATATCAAATATGTTCTTGTTTGCTCGTCGCTATATACGTGCAGAAATCTTGGACGCGACGTTAAATCCAGTTCACCTTACCTCATAATCTTCATTTTAGGAATTAAGTTTATAACCATATGCATTATTGCACCAAAAGTGAGTGTGTATGGTTTTACTCCGCTTTTATTAAAATTCCAGCAATATCACGGCGAGGCACACCAGAAATGGGCTTCACACATTGTGCCCATGTCAGGAATTGAACCCGGGTCTTTGGCGTGACGAGCGAACGCTTTAACCACTAGGCTACCCACCTCCCCCTGCGCCAAAAGAGAAGATGAACTCACCTGTTGGTGGTGGTCGAGTTGTGGTTGGGGGCCACGCTAAATGTAGAAAATATGTTACCAAAGAGTGGGATAAGGAAGTCACAGCAGGGTTATAGCAATCAATAATCGAGTGGTTCCATATGAAGAGGAACCTATATCTTAAAGGGGAAGTGTACACGCAAAAGTTCTTTCTTTCTTTTTCTAAACAAAACGCAATTTTAGAATTAGTTAGTATCTGTGTTTGAAAATATACACTCATTTTTTCACAGTGAAAGTAGGAAGCTCAGAATAGTGTGAAAATGATATGCCGTTATGAGGCCTTCGTTTTTCGAGCTAAACAGGCCTGAGTTATCCCCCTTAGATTATGACGTAATTGGTGCCAATTCAACTGGGTCCCTGTCTATTCTCAACGCAAAAGATATCAAGTACCAGTTTGCGGTAAAACAACATGGCCTACGACACACTCCGGCGCAGTGGTGACTCAGCATAACACTATCCTGGCTGGCATCTGTGACGCTAGAATCACACACCTGGACCTACACCACGTGAAGCGGCTCTAACAAAGCATGATGACGTCATAATGTTTATCAATTGGCACCAATGACGTCATATTGCAAGGGGCATAAGCCATGGTGTTTTTGTTATGGAAATACTTGGTAAATGTGAAAAATATAAATAGCTTCAATGCGAAAATTATGTTGATTAATTGTGATATTTTTATATTTTTGTCTATGACACTTCTAGGTTAACACTTTTAATGTGGAAAAAGTACAAGAAAAATAGTTTCATTTCCGTGTGAACTTGCCCTTTAAGTAACTGAATTGGATCGAGTGATCACTCAGACTCGGTTGCCATTGTTACTCATTATATCCATCACTGGTTTGTCTGTACAAGAGTCAACCATTTTTAATTTGCTGAGTGGGGCGTTAAATTAAAAACAAAAGATCAAAATCGTTTCTGTACCGGCCAAACCAGCCATGTCAACGTCGTGCCGAGTCGATATCATATCAGCGTTCTAACCTTACATTATTGACAATCATTCACGTATTCATTTACAATTTGTAAAATACCACTTCGATCACAGTAGAATTTAAAATTTTTATCTTTTATCGATATAAATCAATCACTAGAAAATATTGAGTAAGATGTCCACGTACTCTCTCCTGGTCCCAGTGTCACCGTTGTTGTAGGCGTGGTCGGTGTAGTTGGGGTCGTAGACATGGGCTGTGTTGAAGGCAGTATTGTAGCATCAGGCATTTTACCAATGATGACGTTGACTGTCGGCGTGATGTCACCGGTGGCATGGCCGAGGAAGTCAATGCATAGTTTATCACCTGTATGTTCGACCCCATTGAAGGGTTTGTTCACCAAGACGTACTCTTTACCATCGGCGCTTTGAGACTCTATGTCCGCCAGCCAGACCTGACAGAGAGACAGGAATATTCAACGTTATTGCCCTTTATTTACAGTTTCTTTTTACGCATATTGTGTGAGTGGCGGGCGCTAACGGTAGGGCAGGACATGCTTACCCTTTTCGCGAACACCTGGTGTCATCACCTGTTTTGAGGGACCCATTTATATAACTTTCAGCGCTGTTTTTCCTGTTACCCTCTTTCGGCGGATATTCGAGACTGGTTATTTCTGGCCTTGACGTTTTTTAGCCTAGCTAAAAAAATAACTGTGGCTGTTATATCTTTCAAGAAAAATAAATATATTCCAGAACGAACTATGCATCTTCAATTCTTATTCATGAGTGAATGAATGAGTGAGTGAGTGAGTGAGTTGGGTTTAACGCCGCTTTTAACATTATTCCACTTGTTGCACGGCGTGTCGGCTTAATGTAGGGTGACACTGGCAGTAGGAGTGATGTTGCCGTTGCTGTGACCAAGGAAGGTCACACAGAGTTTGTCCCCGGGGTGTTCGGCCCCATTGAAGGGCTTGTTGACCAGGACGTATTCCCGGCCATCAGGGGTCTTGGACTCTATGTCCGCAAGCCACATCTACAGGCAAGTCAGAGTGAGTAAGTTGGATTTAACGCCGCTTTTAACAGTATTCCAGTAATATCGCGGCGTGTCAGCTTAATGTGGGAGAAAGCCCGAAGTGATGCCGGTCTCAGACGTTTACCACTTCGATGAAACCCACGAGCACGGGTATGGTTCTGACAAACCTAGAAACATAATCGGGGCGAACCACAATCATTCATATTCATGAAGGCTTATCCTCGACTTTTGCAGTTTGCACCTGCATGTTTATGAACGGCCCACAATTTGGATGTTTGCGTGTTTGTTGGGAGCATGTGCTTTACACACGTGGGTATTTTTGTAATGTGAACTGCAGAGAAAGACTGTTGAGCTATCAGGTGCTTATAAAAACAATTTTGTTTAACTTTAAATAATGCTTACGCAATGCCTAGAATCAACGTCTACGCGCTATGAGTATGCTGCAAACAGGAATGGCACAAAACTAACATGTCAGTCATTTTAATGTTCATCCAAACACAACAGCATCACTTTGGTGACGCTATCTACAGCATGCCAACACTCATGCCTTGCCATGGGCCGGCCGTCCACGTGCGACGTCACGTCAACAAGACAACCATATTCGATTGGTGCATCTACGGAATCGACATAAAACTGTCACATTAGTAGCGCGGACAAGTCCTGGGTTGTGACCAATTAGTGGCAGAACCGTACCGGCTCAGGGAGCACAACGTCCTCACCGACGTCAAGACGCCCAGTTTTACTTCAACGTCACCGTCAGGTACGTCTAGCCTGGTATAGACAACATCTGAGGTTCAAGAGACAAGATTGGGACAGTGTACTGTAGTCAGATACAGATGAGGCCGGGTTTCATGCGGACAGCTCTGTTGGTCGTGCAAAGGTCTACAGGCGTCCAAGGGTTTAAGCGACGCTTTCGTTACTCCACGTTGTCAGTTTGGGGTTGGAAGTGTAATGGTATTGGGTGGCATCGAACTCACGTTAGAACACAACTCATCATTGTAAATGGCAATTTGAATGGCGTACGCTACCAGGACGTCATCGTTCGAGATCATGTTCTACCCTTTGTGCAAAAGCAAGATTTGACGTCATGCTGCAGCAGGAAAATACCAGCCCACATGTTGCACGTGTTGTAACAGACATTTTGAGTCATAATAACATTGCTGCACTGCAAATTGTTTCTGTAGACCTCTTCTCAATAGACAATGTCTGGGATGGGGATGGGTGACGTCTACGACAGGAAGAGAACCAGCCGGTAACGCAAGCTCAGTTCGGCCAATCTTTCGTTGACATCCCCCAGGCTGTTTCAAATCATCTGGTGTCTCAAGGGGGCCAGCACTGCCTCGCCTGTGTCAGGTAAATGGTGGTACTAAAGGTTAATTACGTTGGTATCATCAACCTTTCTCCCACTTCTAAAGGACCAAAAGGCCTGGCAGAAAGGGTTGTCACATGGTTCTAAAATTGAGTGAGTGAGTATGGTTTTACGCCGTTTTAGCAATATTCCAGCAATATCACGGCAGGGGACACCAGAAATGGGCTTCACGCATTGTACCCATGTCTGGAATCGAACCCGGGTCTTCATCGTGACGGGCTAATGCTTTATCCACTTGGCTACCCGACCGCCCCGTTCTAAAATTGAAGAGTCATCATGACCGAGTAGCAAAGAATTGATGTCACCACGTGTTCCTCTACAATAGCCGACATGACCTTGCAGATAAGAACTTTCCAGAGCTTCCAGGACAAGGCCAAGGTATGGTTAGTTCTGATTGTTGTGTTATGTCTTTGTGGGATGGTTTTAGGAGTTCTGTGCGATGACTCGTGTCTCGCAGATGTATGAGATTTAACCACTGCTTGAAACAACATGGAATAAAACTTTTAAGTTTGGTCTCATTTGTTTAAATTTGATATTCAGATGTCCTATTTGATAGCGATTCATAAACACACCCAGTCTTCTAAGGCGACAATGTGTGAAGCCCATTTCCGGTGTCCACCGCCCTGATATTGCTGGAATGTTGCTAAAAAGCGTCGTAAAACCATACTGACTCACTACTCTACTATAGCCAACTAGATCTGATAGATTATAGTAATCAATGGTATTTGACGTTATTAACTATGTTACTATCACTATATATATGTACTACTATAGCCACCAGATCTGACACCCATGTATTCCGTTCATCTTCCAATTCCAATTAACATGTAGATTCAAAACGTCAAAGCCAGAGACGAATATCTGCCGAAACAGCTACAATGATATATTGATTACTGAAAAGCAGCAATGACACTGGCGAAAAGGGATAGCATATCCTGGTGTAGTGGTTTCATTAAATGTAAGTGCCAGTGAGAAGGGAGGTGTAAACCGTGGAGACAATACAGGATGGTATCTTGCAGTCATGTTGAATAGCGCTGTGACATTTGTAGTACATTTATCTGAATGACTGCCATAACATACATTTATGGATTGTTTGTTTGTTATTTAACGCCGCACTCAGCAATATTCCAGCTATATGATGGCGCTTTGTAAATAATCGAGTCTGGACGAGACAGAAAAAGTGATTTACACGCAATTGGGATACGATGACATGCATCAACCAAGTCAGCGAGCCTGACCACCCGATCTCGTTAGTCGCCTCTTACGTCAAGCATAGTCGCCTCTTACGGCAAGCATAAGTTGCTGAAGACCTCTTCTAACCCGGATCTTCACGGGTCCATTTCTGCATTGACTTAACCAGGTCTTTGATGCTGAAGCCCAAATTTCAGTCCTTCGTTAACATGACATTTTAATAAACTGTTCATGTTCTAATGTTAACAAACATTGAAAATGTAGACGTCATAACTTGGTAGTGTATTGCTGAGCATGAAGAGGAATTTACGACAGAAAAATCGAAACCTTCTCTCTTTCAACATTCAACCTTTCCGTTTAAGCGAACCAATTTGACACACAGTTCCTGATAATGCTTAGATACAGATCCAAACCGTTCGTGATAGTCGAAAGAAGCGTTGTCAAACCAGAGGTGTTACGTTACGTAACACTTAAAATACAAGTAATTATTGTCATAGTTGTACATAATGCGACATATGTAGGTTTGAGTACTTATAGTGGACGATAGAACTCACTTCTAACGACGATGTCGGCTCGCTGATCTCAATGCGAGCTTTCCATGAAGATACGTCATGGTCAAACGGTAAACAGAAGCGCCCTTGAAAGCCACCACTCCAGTGGTTGCCAATGGTTACAGGAACTGTTTCCGCTGATGCATGACTGAGTAACCCTAGTAACCAGAGTACCAACATCTGCAGGACAAAATATGGTCAACGATAGATAGAGCGACATATATTGATACATACATACATACATACATACATACATACATACATACATACATACATACATACATACATACATACATACATACATACATACATACATACTAATAAAATCTGACAATTTCTTTTTTTCAGTTTCTTCTTTATATACATATATATATATTAATTAAACCTAAGAGCCACAAATAGCTTGCAACAATGTATTTTTGCGCCTGACAATTTCTTTTTTTCAGTTTCGTCTTTATATACATATAAAATATATTATATAATTAAAGTTATACATATATAATTTCTTTTTTTAGTTTCATCTTTATATACATATGAATATATGATATATATAATTAAAGTTGGTGGCAGGTATTTCTTCTTGACCCCGACAGTGTCAGTGGGTCAATCTCCCAGTTGTATGTGCAATCCACAAATTACTGTACAAATAAATATTTTGAAAAGGTGAATCAATTTGTCGTCTTCATAAGTATACATATTTGTTGTCAGCTTAAGGTGTCGATCTTACAGTTACGAGTCATTTATGTTCACAAATGTTCATCATAACAATCCAATGCCAGTGAATATTTTAATAATGTTTTTGCAAGTAATTTCTGCGATGAAACAGATGGATGATCATGCCTTTACCCTTGTCTACGTCGATAAGACCAAATAATGAATAAACAAACAACATATACTACCTTGTTTTTCCTTTGAAAATTCCCTATAAATATCGACGTGGTTAGTTGTATGTTAGTAACTTATAAGGAACTTTGACCCCTAGTGTTTTAAGAACCAGATAACGTTATCACCTTGCACTATACAAGCTGTGTATATCGGTTGTCGGTCGCCGAAAGTGCTGTCCAATTATATTTTAGTTTAGGTCGAGCTATCTGTGCGAAACATTTTAACAATCCTAGCTTGTAAGTAGACATTGACGCAATATATTAGTCCATACAATTGACACAATCAATTCGACTTATGAGAAGAGTTAATGATGAATTCAAACGAAATATTTACTTCGAGGTCAATTCTGCCTTGCAATGGTCCAAAAGTCCAAAAATGAGCTGTATATATTAATCTGTATATATGTAATGTTATGGACTCTGCTTTTCATTTGGTTATGTTTTCTATGTGGTTAGAGGCGGTTGGGTAGGATAATGGTTAAGGCGTTGGACGGAAACGGAAAACCGGAAACCTGGGTTATATTCCCCAAATAAAAACGTGTGCCCTTCTGTCATTGAAAATTATACTATTGCTAAAAACGGCGTAAAATCACACGCACTCCCTTACGTGACCAATCGAACGTTGTTTGTGACGATAATATTGTATTCACTCTGTTCAGTTATGTGATTATACCAGATGTTTTTGCATATATTTTGTCTATGTCTCTAGAATAGCCACTCGAATGTACTGGAAACAGGACGAGGATCCTGAAATAGCCCATGAAGTAAATACACCTTTGTACACCACTAACCCACGTGACACTCTTAAGGAAAACTGCATTCCTTGATCCTTGGGGGATTTTTAGCTAAAGGCGGTGACTATAGAGAGAGTTACATATCCATCTGAAGAGGTTGGCGTCTACAGTACACATCGTTTCAGGGGCAATCGAAAATGCTCTTTCTACCAACTATTCAAAGAGCGTCACACGAATCTTGCTCAGAAGTTGTTTGATCAATGTTACACCATTCTTCTCAGTAATGCTTTTTAACACGTTTTATGGAAGAATTTGTCTCATCATATTTGACTTCTACCACACGTTCCCGTGTTTTTTTCAGGTGAACAAGTGACTTGTCTTTGCATGTGTTTGTGACAAGTGCCACCAGTGGGGCAGGATACGCTCACCTTTTCGCAAACACCTGGTATCATTACTATTTTACATGTTCATGAAATAATCAGAATAGTACAATCGACACTGCTCTGATTTTGACTTATGGAAAATCTCTTGTTTTTATGTTAAATACTACACACACAGGGGGATAGGTACTAAGAACATAGATGTAGGTTTTTATGCAAAGTTTGTCAGCGAGTGGCGGGTCTACTGGTAAATATACGTACATTGTCAGTGCAAGAGAATAACCATCCTAGATTTCAGCGGAAACAGATTCCACTTGGCGTAAAAGCAAATAGCTGTGGAAACTATAATTATGAATGTACCACTGAAATCAGTGATGACAGCGGGTGTTTGTCAAAAAGGGTAAGCAAGGCAGGACGTCCTTATCATTTTCGCTCAACAATAGGATCTCAAAGGCTACCACCAGAATCCTTATGTAGCATACGCACAGATGACGTCAAATGACTTACTACTGTGAAAAGCTCTAAAAGAATGCGAAAATAAAGTAGTTTAATACATGTCACAGGCCATTACACGTTACAAGTTAAGTTTGACGAGATTTTAGATTTGGGAAGGGAATACTTAGGGTCCCCTTAAACTTGCAAGGCTGCATTTTATTTGTTTATATTTACAGTTACTGTCTTGTGTTGACCTAAGTAGTTGGTTTTGGTTTGTTGTTTAACGCCGCACTCAGCAATATTCCAGCTATATGACGGCGGTCTGTAAATAATCGAGTCTGGACCAGACAATCCAGTCATTAATATCATGAGCATCGATCCACGCATTTGGGACCGATGACATGTATCAACCAAGTCAGCGAGCCTGACCACCCGATCCCGTTAGTCGCCTTTTACGACAAGCATAGTCACCTTTTACGGCAAGCATGGGTCGCTGAAGACCTATTCTACCCCGGAATCTTCACGGGTCGTTGACCTAAGTAGTGGGAGAGGAAGTCTCTGATGTATACTGACCATACGTTACTGGCATGCTGACTTCTAGAAGATCCTTCTAGATGTTTCTGTAAATTGTAAGCCGTTTCTTTCATTTCCCTCATGTCATTATTGTAGTGTCAATTTATGTAATCCCCTTCTCTTCAATAAGTATATTTCTGACCCGTGAGAATCCTGTGTAGAACAGGTCTTCAGCAACTTATGCTTGCCGTAAGAGGCGACTAACGGGATCGGGTGGTCAGGCTCGCTGACTTGGTTGATGCATGTCATCGTATCCCAATTGCGTGGATCGATGTGTATGATGTCAATCACTGGATTGTCTGGTCCAAACTCGATTATTTACAGACAGCCGTCATATAAAATTTAGCTAGAATATTGCTGAGTGTGGCGTTAAATAACAAATAAATAAATAGTATATGTCGGGGAAGAGTGCAGTACACTGGACACCTTCCGCCATTTTGGTAAGGGATGTGTACGAGCTCATTCCTTATTAACGGTTTCTAAGTTTTTCAGACGCAATCGATGGCGCCTGGCTACAATAACAGCGGGTTTGAATTAAATTCTTTCGTAAGTAAATGTAATGTTTAATTTCCAAAGCAGATACAAAATTCAATGTGTTCGGTGAAATGTGGCTCCGACGGATGTCACTGATGAAGTTGTCGCACGCCATTATGGAACTGATATTTTCAAGTATCTTCTGGATGTTGTCTAGTTTTCGACGTTTATGCATCGCTTGGATATTCAATTTCAAGATTGGATACTACAAATCCAAGTGGGATCATTTTTTTCAGCTTATTTTGAGTGAGTGAGTGAGTGAGTGAGTGAGTGAGTTGGGTTTAACGCCGCATTTAACAGTGTTCCAGTTATATCACGGCGTGTCAGCTTAATGTGGGAGGAAAGCCCTAAGTGATGCAGGTCTCAGACGTTTACCACTTCAATGAAACCCACGAGTTTGGTCCTGACAAACCTAGAAACATAATTGGGGCGAACCGGGATTCGAACCCACAAACATAGGTTTCTGGCGTGCCCGAGGGACGCAACTCTGCACAGCGAATCGCGGCGTGCTTTCTTTTATTTTTATTTTTCAAATAGTGATTTTGTCACGAGCGACTTTATTTATAGCATCAAACAAACATTGCGGACAGGTGCCCGATACCGTACATGTGTACCAGATTAGGTAATTCAGGTTCTGATATTTCTATCATGCCGTAGGCACGCTGAGATAAGACATTGTGTTAAAGTAGTTCATCCCGAAACTAATCTAAACATTCACTCACAGACGTCCAGACAGGTCAGTGGAGTCCGCAGTTAGTTTGCCGGAATCCTTTTGGATTTCTCAAAGAAATTTATCATGAAAGAAATTTTCTATGACAATTCATCGTTAACATGTTGAATATATTTATATTCAGTATGCAAATATTATAAATCTGCGTGTATTTTATATCAGCTCGTTAGCTTATTATAATAAAAAATATCTTGGAGAAATAACAACGGCAAAAGTGTATATTATTTATATTTAACCCATTTGTGAACATCATGGCTGCAATACCTCATATAATCTAACGTATGGTTGTAACGATTGTCCTAAATATTGCTCTTCTATGTTCAAGAGATAGGATCATTCCCCCGTTGCACTAAGCGGTCTTAACGCTAAGGTGACTGCAACTCCTATACTTTAACATAGGCTTACAATCATCATTGCGCTAAGATCGCTTTGTGGAACGGGCCCTTGGAGTTAAAACACATTTCTCGCCGAAAAGGTTGATGGCTCAACACAGTGAAAATAATTATTAGAAGTTAATAAATAAGTGGTGTATTTTAATGGAACCTGAAGCTATGACGAATCACAAGTTTAATCTAAGTGCCAAGTGATTTGAAGGGATCATATTCTTTCAAAGGATACGGGACCTGAGGACTTGTACCAGTGTTAAACACTTAACGACGAAATTGAGTCCAGTTAAATATTTCATTTTCACATAGTGTATGGCTCCACGCTGTTTTCTGCAATATTGCAGTTGTTCGCGTCAGGAACGAATTTTTTGTCTCGAAACCCAGAGTTACTGTTGAAGAATGAACGGTTTAACCAGTACTCTACTCAGTCACCCCGCCATCATTTAAAACGACATTCATATGGCATTTGTGTGCTGGCGATTAGGTGCCTCTCTCTGAAAGTGTTGGTTCGAATCCCGGATAGGACTCAACCCCCAAAAGAACTAGAATCTGTACTTTTCTAGAAAGTGTTATCCCATATATAGTGAGTGAGTTGGGTTTAACGCCGCTTTTAACAGTATTACAGTTATATCGCAGCGTGTCAGCTTAATGTGGGAGGAAAGCCCCAAGTGATGCTGGTCTCAGACGTTTACCACTTCGGTGAAACCCACGAGCACGGGTATGGTGCTGACAAACCTAGAAACCTAATCGAGGCGAACCGGGATTCGAACCCACAATCATAGGTTTCTGGCATGTCCAAGGGACGCAACTCTGCACAGCGGATCGCGGCGCCTCAGACGACTGGGCCACCCGTGCCCCCTATCCCAAATATAACATTTGTTACATTTATAAACATGTAACCACACAACCGATGCCGTTTAAGCTCTTAGAAATGAAATGTATTTCTCCTGTTGTTATTTATTAATAATACGTATACACATGTTTACCCCTTCATTTAGTACTTAATAATCAACAACCAGCATGCATAGTTACAAAATATTAACGATCCTCACCACAAGTGCTTAAAGTGCTGCACCAGCGAGTTTAACTTAAGTGTAAATTGGAAAGGTGACTGAAAGGTTATCCTGCCTGCAACCCAAAATCAACTATCCCTATTCTTAATCTTCCGTCTCTAAGTGATATAACATAACAACTCACTCACTCACTTTACCATTGGCATATTCGCAGATGATTTCTCTTCTCTTACTGGGGCTCGTCGTGGGCCCGTCGGCTGGGCTGACGGTGCCTGTAACCATGGGCAACCATTGGACTGGAGGTTTCCAAGGCGATTTCTGTCTGCCATTCACTCTTGACGTCACTTCCTGGAAAGCTCGTCTTCAGTTCAGCATAGCAACAAAGTCTCTTGAGGTCAGCACAAACAGATCGATGGGTGGTCGATAGAATTAGGGGCACTGTCATTACGCTGTAGCTTCAAGTTTTAAGGGCGGGTTGCATTTCGCTCATTTTTTGTTTATCCGTTAACAAAGTTATTGAGTATGTTCGAAACATTTTCTTTTTGGAACTTTCGTGATAACAAGAACCCAAGAAAGGAAATAATGTTTATGACAAACACGCAAAGGTTCGCTATCCTAATTCCTCAATATTTCAACTCTTCCATAACTACTTCAGTGGTTTGAAGCTATCTTGTATATTTGGACACCTTCAGATCTGGCTAGCTGACATTGAGTCACAGAGTGCGGACGGTCGCGAGTATGTGCTGGTCAACAAGCCATTTAATGGAGACGAACATCCGGGTGACAAGCTGTGTGTGGCGTTCCTCGCACACGTTGACGGAGACGTTACCCCAACAGCGAATGTCATCGTCGAGAACATGCCCGACCCCACAACACCACCATCAACGACATCGACCACCACTACCACCACCACGACAACCCCAACTACTACGAGGACGCTGGGGCCTGGCGAGAGTAGGGATGTTATGAATGTTGATAGATCCACAGCCACACACACACGCATACACATACATACACTCACACACACATTACATACACTCACACACACATACACTCACACACACATTACATACACTCACACACACACATACACAGAGCCACACATACATACACTCACACACATTACATCCACTCACACACATTACATACACTCATACACACATTACATACACTCACACACATTACATACACGCATACACATTACATACACTCACACAAATTACATACACTCACACACATTACATACACTCATACACATTACATACACTCATACACACATTACATACACTCATACACATTACATACACTCACACACACATTACATACACTCACACACATTACATACACTCATACACATTACATACACTCATACACACATTACATACACTCATACACATTACATACACGCATACACATTACATACACTCATACACACATTACATACTCTCACACACACATTACATACACTCACACACATTACATACACTCATACACATTACATACACTCATACACACATTACATACACTCATACACATTACATACACGCATACACATTACATACACTCATACACACATTACATACACTCACACACACATTACATACACTCACACACATTACATACACTCATACACATTACATACACTCATACACACATTACATACACTCATACACACATTACATAAACTCATACACACATTACATACACTCATACACATTACATACACTCACACACATTACATACACTCATACACACATTACATACACGCATACACATTACATACACTCATACACACATTAAATACACTCACACACATTACATACACTCACACACATTACATACACTCATACACATATTACATACACTCATACACACATTACATACACTCACACACATTACATACACTCACACACATTACATACACTCACACACATTACATACACTCACACACATTACATACACTCATACACACATTATATACACTCATACACACATTACATACACTCACACACACATTACATATACTCACACACATTACATACACTCACACACATTACATACACTCACACACATTACATAAACTCATACACACATTACATACACTCATACACACATTACATACACTCACACACACATACTCAGAGCCACACATACATACATACACTCACACACACATTACATACACTCACACACATTACATATACTCATACACACATTACATACACTCACACACATATTACATACACTCACACACATTACATACACTCACACACACATTACATACACTCACACACATTACATACACTCACACACATTTCATACACTCACACACATTAAATACACTCACACACATTACATACACTCACACACATTACATACACTCACATACATTACATACACTCATACACATTACATAAACTCACACACATTACATACACTCACACACATTACATACACTCATACACATTACATACACTCATACACATTACATACACTCACACACATTACATACACTCACACACATTACATACACTCATACACATTACATACACTCACACACATTACATACACTCATACACATTACATACACTCATACACACATTACATACACTCATACACACATTACATACTCTCACACACACATTACATATACTCACACACACACATACACAGAACCACACATATATACACTCTCTCACACACACATGCACACACACATTAACACTCACACACCCCATACACACACGGCCACACATACACACACGGCCACACACACACACACACACACAGACACGTGTATGTACGTCGCTATATAAGTGCATTTATCTTGTAACCTCACCTACTTGAAACATAAGTACGGTCAGTTATAAATATTTTGGGAAGCAATCTTTTGTAATTTGGGGTGCAAATCGCGTTTACCACATATCGTCACGACATTTGATTGTAAGTAAGCTAAGTGAGAAACTATCTGTTGTCATCCTTACTTGCCGTGTTAGCACTTCCATGATAACATACACGTACTGTGTGCAGATGCCATGAACATGCCCAGAAAACACGTATGTCACTCTTTCACTGAAAAATCCGGCAATCGCAATCAACGCTCGCCTAACTTGACGCCTCGACCATGTGTCATGGATGTATATTACGTGTAGTTCCTTAAGATTATTTGGAAAGAGAATTTATTAACCTCTTAATCTAGGTTAAAAAATATATCGCAGTCATTTGATTCCATTACTTACACTCTGATAATCTCTTCAGTCCGTGTAACGCGGTCCACAGACATGCACTGTGTCTCGAATTGGATTTGGAGGCGTGCAATCCTCGGAAGGACATTCGTAACACTATGTTCGCACGGCAATGTATGCGATAAACCGGACGTAAAAAAGTGCTATTGTGATTCGATACCCCAAATAAATTTAACAATCTTCACTGATAGACAACATCCAAGAACCTAACATATACACGGGGTAATGATATCTACTTTATTTGCAGCGTGGCCCCCAACGACGACACACCCTCCAATCACGAGTACGTGGACAGAATTTACAAAGCCAAGTTACAGAATAAAATGGATCAACATATTTTACCTTAGTGTCATAAAATTAACTTTACTAAACCGATGCTCTTTTCAGACTGCATTTTTCAGTGTCATGTTAATGTAATTGTTCATGTTCCCACAATGTCTCCGTTGTAAATACAGTATTGTAAAACTCCATTAGTGGCACTCCTTGTCTTCGGAAACTCCATTAGTGGCACTCCTTGTCTTCGGAAACCCTATTAGTGGCACTCCTTGTCTTCGGAAACCCTATTAGTGGGACCCCTTGTATTCGGAAACCCAATTAGTGGGACCCCTTGTATTCGGAAACCCAATTAGTGGGACCCCTTGTATTCGGAAACCCAATTAGTGGGACCCCTTGTATTCGGAAACCCTATTAGTGGGACCCCTTGTATTCGGAAACCCAATTAGCGGGACCCCTTGTATTCGGAAACCCAATTAGTGGGACCCCTTGTATTCGGAAACCCAATTAGTGGGACCCCTTGTATTCGGAAACCCCATTGGTGGGACCCCTTGTATTGGGAAACCCCATCGGAGGGACCCCTTGTATTGGGAAACCCCATTATTGTGATACCTTGTATTCGGAAACCCCATTAGTGGGACCACATGTATTCGGAAACCTTATTGGTGGGGAACCTTATGATAGTAAACAAGGCTTTCCGTACGAATACTGTGGAGACGTATTGTAATTAATATTCAAATTTGTACAACGCATCAATGAAAAACATATTAGAGTTGTCGTACTTGATACTCAGTCTTTGTCACCAGAGGGCACTAAGTCAGAGCACGTGCCTCACAACCAGACTTTAACAATGGAGCTGATCCAGAACCGGAATGGTCAGTGGGAGGGTCAGTTCTGTGTGGACCTCAAGGAGGAGATCCAGGCCTGGGAACTCCTCATGACATTCAGTGTCGGTGTCACCAGCATCCAAGTGAGTTCAAGGTCGGAGGACATGCACAAGAACTGTGTTAGAGTGTCTGCCAGGAGAGTAGAACGTCCGTCCTTCGATCCCCTGTGCGCGTCATAACAAACGATGTTAAAGGTGATACTCCTTGTTACCCTGTCTGCCTCTTGGTATTAACGGGATGAAACAAGGACTGGTCGGTTATGTCCTATTAAAAGGAGCTTGGGTCATGTACAGAAGTCCGAAGTGTAAAAAGTCCGAAGTAGTGAATAGGTCAGTTTGAGTAATGGTACTTTATAAAGGAACTGAGAGCACAGGAGAAAACTTCTGGTTTTCACCGAAATCCGAATTTTGACAGTGTCCGATTTGGACAGATTCCACCGTATACTACTTAAACAACTTAAAGAACACCCACAATTGGAAACCTTGACATATTACCTATAATAGTGTTAAATCGAGTGTTGTTTAATTTCTTTTGATTAGATTACTTGCTCGTATTCAAAATAAATAAATGCTTCCTGAAAACTTCTTAAATTAGCATTTTTTAACATATTTTAGTCTATCTTTACATATAGTGTTGTTACAGTCAATACGTACAACTGTTGAAATGAACAAAGTCTGGTTCTCATGCATATGAACAGGTCAAGACGTTTGGCTCAATACTTAACTTAAAGGGGCACTGATCTAACGCAATTCCCCGGGACTGGTTGTTGCCTTTGTTATTGTTTTTTCCCAGTGAGAACCCGGATGTATAGCAGAAATTTAGACTAGTTCGCGACCTCTGTTGCGCCATTCGTAAGCGCATTAGTCACTTGTATGGGTAGTAATAAGGGCGTATGGTCACATTGATCAACAAAATGAAATACAGTTTTCGAGGTAATAAGGAAATGTAGGTATCTTTTAGGGTAGCATCGGTAATGGTGACGAAGTCATTTGCTTGGTAATTTTGTGATTTTCGTTTACACTATTTTGACTTGCAACACAAAGTTAATATTTCACCTGAGCCTTGCTTTTTTTATAGTGTGTATATTTTTTTACTGTCAAAATGTGTAACATTTTCAAATTTATTAAACGCTTAAATATTCAGTTATTTTACAAAGTGACTGAAAAACATTTCCATCTGTATTATTATGATAACGAATTCCAAACATTTTGATGTTTAATGTCATCACCAAGAGACTGAAAATGTTACGTTGAAAAGTACATTTCTATGTTGTTTGGCTTCTAATCCTACATAATAATCTGTTGTGATGTTTGTAGGCCCTTTTGATCGTCTTAATCAATCTGGGCAGATTTTTTAGTCAAAATGACTGAAATATTTACACATTTTATAAATTGCCTGAGAGAATCACATTTTACAAATTGACGGTAATATATACATGCTTACAAAGGGAAATACCTGTGAAAACAACGTCTATCGCGCATTGAAGAATTTCCCAACCAATACGTAGAGAAACAAGGTCGAATCGGTTCAATGCTACAGCACATGAAGGAAAACAAATATTGCCTCCATCCTCCAAGTTTATTTAGCTGTCCTTGCAGACTGTAGCCCAGTCTCTGGTCACGCTCAGTTGCGTTGCGTATCATCCGGGCACTCACGGGGGAAAAAACAATAACAAAGGCAACAACCAGTCCGGGGAATTGCGTTAGATCAGTGCCCCTTTAAGTGCAGATCCTGGGACCAATAAGGTCCTTATAATACCGTGGTCTTTATGGTGTCGCAGCAGCTAATCGGCACGGTGGTCGTATATTGTATCTCTTCGATTTATGACAGCTGTGTTATAGGAACGTATGCCCTCTCTTCATTTAGAACTACGAAGGTGATATAGTTGGATCAACTTCCGGCTGCTCTAAAAAATGGGTTATGGTCAACCGGAAAACCAAAGGCGTCCATTACGCCGGGGACCATTACTGTGTCCGGCTGACGGGCAACGTGTGCAGTGGGTCCGGAGACCCCAGCGGAACTGCCGTCCTTGTCGACGTCACCAACGATGGACAGACGCTGCCTCGTGTGCCAGTTGTTACAGGTCAGTGTCTTGGATCCGCCTCGGTGATCCGTTCATATTTTTTTTATCACCGATTTGTCGTTAACGCCAATGGAGTCTGTGTTTGATTGCGCCCCCTCCCCAACCCCCTCCCACCACGGCGGGAGACGTTGCCCATACTATCAATCGCTGGATTGTCTTGTTGGGGCTCGATTATAAACCTACCCCCATATACATGTAGCTGGAATATTGCTGAGCGCTGGGTAAAACAAAAAACAAACAAGAAAAGAGCCATTCTTAATACCGGACTATTCAATACAAAATACGGGACAAATAACACTTCCTGCATATAGACCACTGACATGAAGCCAACGCGATGTGGTTGCCAGGTGATATTTAGGTGTGACTTATATCTTTAACCAGGAGCCCAGACTACCAAGTACAACTATGCCGAGATCCTGATGAAGTCCATCCTGTTCTACGAGGCTCAGAGATCCGGGAAACTCCCCGCTGACAACAGGATCCCCTGGAGGGGGGACTCCGCCCTGGGAGACAAGGGGGCTAACGGGGAGGACCTCACTGGGGGATGGTATGACGGTGAGTTTCTACCCACAGGTTCCTTAAATGATGTGTTTGTATGAAATTATGATTCATTTGAACATCTTTGTGATTGTTTTCTATTTTTATTATTTTCTATTTCTCACTTCAGATTTACGAATGTACCTGGTTTTAAACTGGGCGTTCGTCGCTATAAGCTCTCTAGCTTGGTTCCGCCCATTTACCATAGTAGTATCTATGATTGGGGTTCTGCCGCTACCAAGCCTGGACCATTCCCGAAATGCTTCTATGGGGGTCTACACTACTACTATTTTTGTGTTTCTTGACGTTTCTTTGTTTTTTTATACAAATTATTTGAATGATAGTTGCTACTAAATTAGAAGAGAAGGATCTGCTTACCCTGGTGTCGTCACTGATTTTCGGTGATCCATTCATATAGTTTTCACCGCTGTTTTTGTTTTTGTGGCGAATGGAATCTGTTACGCAAGATAATCGGTTATTCTCTGGCGTTACGTGTGATATATATTGTAATATTGTTCTTACTTAATATCATGGTATAATTTAAAATAATGCTTGTTGGATGATATCATGGCAACAATTTGATTTTGATTGTCACATATAATTTTCCCAGGTATGATATGACTTTAAGCGGCACTTGAACGTTACTCTTTCAGCTGGCGATAACGTCAAATTCAACTTCCCCATGGCTTTTAGTACAACCCTTCTGACCTGGAGTCTGATTGAATACAAGGACGCCTACGAGAAGACGGGCCAACTGGAGAAGATGTACGAGTGCATCAAGTGGCCTCTGGACTACTTCATCAAGTGTCACACCAAGCCGAATGAGCTGTATGGACAGGTAAAGAGGGTTGCCTTAGTCAGAGTCGAGTATTTAAATGTCTGATATAAAGATGTCGACACTGTTGTACTCAACTGATCTTAAAGATCCCGTGGTTTAGCAATAACCGATTTTTCAGGAATACGGTAAACTACGGTTATAATGAACTCGAGGGGACCAAAAATTTTAGTTCGTAATAACCGTAGTTCGTTATAAGCATGCATACAGCATATATAAAACAACTGTTCGGAACTAAAAAATAAGTTCATTATATCGGTCAGTTCGTTATAAGCGTGTTCGTTATAAACGTAGTTTACTGTAGTTGTATTTGGAGCGCAGGGCATTAACAACCTTACATTTTATGTAAGTATGAGCAGATGAACAGTATTTGACATTTTGTGTTGTATAAAAGTTGCACACGCGTATAATAGGATCTGGACCAGTATGTTGTTTATGAATTCATGTATACCATATTATATTATGTTGTCAACCGATTTCGAGGGGTACATGACGTAATGTACCCTGTGTGTGAGCCTATGTATGTCAGGGACATACAGGGTACATCACACAATATACCCCCGAGAGATCGGTTGACTCTCACCGACATTCATTCATACAGATCAGGAATATATGTCCGAAGTTTCACCGAGTACAACGCTTTGATCGAGCCATTCAGATGATGCAAACAAAATTATCGAAAAAGTTACCGAAGATGTGTTCCAATTGATTTCTCAGCAGGGTATATGAGTGGGCTACATTGATATAATTGCTGCTCCTTAGCCAATCAGAAGCTAGTTATTGAATGTAAGGTGAGATAATAACCAATTTTACCTCATCAAAATTTTAAATGATTATAAAGATTGGAGATGGCGGTGCTGACCACGGCACGTGGACCAGCCCAGAGCGCATGACCGGAACTAGACCAGCCTTCAAGATTGATGCATCCAATCCTGGCTCCGATCTGGCCATGGAGACCGCTTCAGCCATGGCTGCTGGTTCCATTGCCTTCAAAGACAAAGGTAAAGAGGATTTGATGACACCCAGTTGTATAGCCAAGAATAAACTTTAGGTGGACAGCCTATATCCCCTACCTAAAATGCCTGGCGTGCCCCGACGTGATATTCCTGGAATATTGATACAAGCGGTGGAAAGTTTCAACTTACCGGAAGAATCTGGCAAACTTCTCTTCCCTGTGATGGATGAATAATTACTTCTTTGTCATTGGCATCTTACGAAATCAATTATTTCGACCTTGAATTCGACGAGAAGGTCACATTTTGAAAACCTTTTTGCCGACCAGTAGTTGCACCTGCTTTCATCACATTCCGGTGAAGGCAAAATAGAGGATGAATTACCAGCATCTGACGACATCGGTATCGATGGGCAACATGTAAAGAGTCTTTCTATGTTATGGTGACAAGAAAGCAAATTTATCTTCTTCTCCTCACGGAGCAAGGAGCTGCTCCTTGGACTTCAAATATATATTTTTTAAATTGACAAAAACGTGAACAATTCGACTAATTCATATAAGAGACACTAAAAGTTGTAGCAGTATCACGTGGGGCTTAATGTGTCTCTGGTTAGGTTTACGCCTAGAGCTGGAGGCGAATTTATCTCACCAACATGTTTTAATATAACGTTATAAAAGAATTAAAACAAATTTAAAATTTATAACACAGCTGCTGTTTGATTGAGCTGAGGTTAACTTGTGCAATGTCGCGTGACGTTCATTGACTCGAAAAAGCGTGCGGATTTGCTTCGCTGTGGGATTTTAGGGCTTTATTCTGCCTCTGAGAAATCCACATATCAAGCTGTGAGATATTGACACGTGTGTTCTCTGTCCGTGTCACGACAGACCCCGCCTACTCGGCCACTCTGCTGACACACGCCAAGCAGCTGTTTGAGTTCGGGAAAGATCACCAGGGGAAATACAGTGCAGCTATTTCCAATGCCGCCGCTTTCTATGCGTACGTACACAAGTCTTACTTTATGTGTAATAACAAATATTTTCCAAGGAACTGATTAAATATATGATACATTTGTGTCACTAGCACAAAGGGACTTTAATGCTATCATCATCCATCCATCATCATGAAATATTCATTACCATCATCATCATCATCATCATCATCATCATCATCATCATCAAATATCTATCATCATCATCATCCCATCATCATCATCAAATCATCATCATCATCAAATCATCATCATCAAATCATCTTCATCATCATCATCATCAAATCCTCATCATCATCATCATCATCATCATCATCAAATCATCATCATCATCATCATCAAATCATCATCATCATCATCAAATCATCATCAAATCATTATCATCAATATTATTCTTAACAATAATATGATAATCCTTTTAGATCCCAGGATTACGAGGACGAGAACAGCTGGGGAGGTGTGTGGCTGTACAAGGCTACTGGAGATCAGACCTACCTGGACTATGCAGAGAAACACTTCGTGAACAAAACCGCCTGGGGGTTCTCCTGGGATGAGAAGATCGGCGGTGCTAATGTGCGTGGAAATCCTTTCCTAATCTTCAACGTTCAAACATCTCATGTATTACACCACTCGTTGTACCACTATGGCAACTAAACTGTAGTTCGGCGAGAGAAAAACAAAAATAACCGTTAGATTGAGCTACTAAAATTGCTACGAAACAAACGGAATATTTACAGCTCCCTTTGAAACTCATTACAATCAAATCTTTTACAATGCATCTCTCCGAAAGAGTTACCACATTGGAGTAAAACAATTGCTTATAGAACGATTTAGATTTCTTTGGATTTACGCGTATTGAAATGGCTTGAAGAAGCAGCTTGCTGGAAATGATTTTAGCGCATGCGTGCTTGGCGACGGGGGAGCGAAATTATCAGAGGTAGGCAAATGACAGATATATGCAAGTCATGCAAATCTCTGTCACATCCAAGTCGGATTTTACCCGGAAATAACATGTCCAGGGGCAACAGTTTGTCCTTACAACTTTATAATGTTAACGATTGATGATGCTATGAGGTGGTGAGGTGAAATGGGTTTAACGTCGTGTCCAAGATTATTGCACTTATATAGCGACGTGCATGCACGCGTGTGTGTGGCTGCTTGTACTAGTCCGGACTGATGCCGATTTATAGTGCTAGCACACTGATATACCATGCCGCAGTTTAACACGAATATCCCACTCAGACACAGTATAGTGACTCCGAGCCGACCAGTCCTTGTTTTAGCCCCTTAATGCCGAGCACCAGGCAGGGTAACAACAAGTACCATCTTTTAACGTATTACGGTATGACGCGGCCGGGGATCGAACCCCGGACCTTCTGCTCTCCGGGCGGACGCTCTACCACAAGGCCACGGAGGCGGTGATGATGCTATGAAGATGACGCTAGTGTTTTATTCTTTCAGCTCCTGCTGTATAACCTCACGAAGAAGGACAGGTACAAGAAGGTCGTGGAAGGCACGTTCGTGTCCTGGTTCCCGCATGGTGATATCGACTACAGCCCCAAATGTCTGGCCTTCAGACTGCAATGGGGATCTCTCAGATATGCAGGTAATCAGGTGGCGATAGTCGTTGTGATTGGGTGTTGTTTAACGGTGCAGTCGGCAATAATGCGGCGGTCGCTCCATAATCGGTTCTCGAACCACAAAAACTAGTGACTGAAAATATGGGCATCAATACTGGTCAACGAAGTTTGATCACCCACAATCAGCCACGCCAAAGATGATAGTGGCAGAGTGAGTGAGTGAGTGAGTGAGTGGGTGAGTGAGTGAGTGAGTGAGTGAGTGAGTGAGTGACTGTAGGTGTTTACACGGCCCCGGAGCTAGCTATAGGTAGTCGCAATATTAATACAGTAAACTACGTTTATAACGAACACTCGCATAACGATCGGACCGATATAACGAAATTATCCTTTAGTCAAGGCCTTTTTTGGTATATATGCTGTATATATGCTTGTAACGAACTGCGGTTATTACGAACTAAAATTAGTGGTCATTTTAAGTTCGTTATAACCGTAGCTTACTGCACAAGAAACACAAATAAGAAACTGCATTAGATACGTTGTTTCATTGCTGTAGGATATTATTCATCCTCGATTTTGCTCAGTATGAAAACCAAAGTGTTTGGCATAGATAACTTTTCCAACTCTCAGGCACAATATAGTAATAATTCAATAAGTGGAGTAAGATTGAACACAGTTTTTATTGGCTAACGTATGAGTCTCATAAGCCCCTTACTGAATTATATATACATGTATTTACAATATGGACGTACCTGTGCCGTCGTATAGCTGCTGTGATAATAACCATTGGTCTATCTTTATACACAAGACTCACATATTCACTGACGTAGTGACAAAGACCCGTGAAGATCCGGATTTGAATAGGTCTTCAGCAGCCCATGCTTGTCGTAAGAGGCGACTAACCGGATCAGGTGGTCAGGCTCGCTGACTTGGTTGATGCAACTCATCGAATCCAAATTGTTTTAATCGATGCTCATGATTTCAATCACTGGATTGTTGGGTCCATACTTGATTATTTACAGACCGCCGTCAAACAGCTGGAACATTGCAGAGTGCGGCGTTAAACATGAAACAAAACAAAGACAATTATTGATTATTGGGGTAGTTATTGTTGTATACGGGAACGGCTGAATGATATTTTGTTTGTTGGGTCATAAAACACTATCCATTACTTTCAGCAAACACGGCCTTCCTCGCTCTGGCGGCTGCCGACGCTGGGCTCAGCCCAGACTTATACCGGAAGTGGGCGATGACCCAGCTCCACTACGCATTTGGCGACACCGGAAGAAGTTTTATCGTAGGGTTTGGCGTTAATCCACCTGAGAGGCCCCATCATAGAGCCAGGTTTGTGGAGCGATCATAAAGCCAACATTGGTCAATAGCAATACCGACTTTGGTGAAACCCATGAGCGCGCATGGTGCTGAGAAATCAAGGATAGTACCCAGGGCTCATCTGGGATTCGAACCAAGGACATATTTCAGTCGAAAGCCAATAGCGGAGACAATACCTCAGCAAAGTCAGTGAACGATTGAGAACACATGTTGAGTTGATGTACCCTCTCCGTTTGGTTCGGGGTAAACGGCCACACAACTGATACATCAAACACGAATACGTACATACACCCGAAAGACTAGTGTCAAGATTAGTGGTGTCACCCTGGGCAAATGACTTCAATCGGGTGATCCTTAACTTCTTTTGTGTAGTATATATGAGACTGCTTTATAGTCCAATTGGGATGTGTGCGGGTTTTTTCTGCAATTACTTTTAATATTCGATACTGACCGGTGTTTCAAATGTTCAAATCAACTTAGCAGAATTTTTCTTCGGCAGCTCCTGTCCAATGTTACCGGCCCCATGTGAGTGGGAGTCTCAGACCCAGAAGGGCCCCAACCCCCACACCCTGTACGGCGCCATGGTGGGCGGCCCCGGTAAAGACGACAGCTACAAGGACGACAGAAAAGACTACGTCAAGAACGAAGTAGCGTGCGACTACAACGCCGGTATGCAGGCCGCTACAGCAGGTGCGTGAACGTGTATGAAACTTCGTGAACAGCCTTTAAACATAGTTATAGCATCAGATTGTGTGATATGAACAGTGGGTGTGTAGATTGACGGTTCTGATTAAGTCTTTGCTGCAGGTACAATACATTAATTTGGAGCACAGAACATAATAATACCTATCTTAATGGAAAAATGTATGGAAAACCACGTAAAGTGACTGAGTGAAATAGTTTAGTTTAAGGCCGCATAAAATAGTTTTCCAGTAACGTCACAGCCTGTCAACTTGAGGTTGGAGAAAGGCCCGAAGTGACGCTGTTTCAAAAAAGCGATGTGTATATATTTGACAACTGCAAGAAATACCCTAATTATACATTTAATAATACAGCAAAATATGGTTAACTCGATGTCCTGGGTACCCTCGAGTTATCCGTAGTTGTTATAACACCATTTAATCGGTTCCAGCTCTTCAGGAATGGTAAAGTTGCATCGCCTTAGTTTATTTAATATTCCTGGTGGGGCGGGGGTGAGGATGGAAATGGGGTCTGGGATCTCTGTTCCAGACTGACCGACATTTTCTCTGAATTGAGGAGTGCTGCTATGTATTTTTATACAGCGCATTTCTTAAGGACATTCAACCTTAACCGATACAACGAGGTAATTACGTTCGGGTAAAGTTTTACATAAATGTTTGGAGCAGTGTTTATGTTTAGTATAAGTTAATTTTATTGTTTGTGTTTTACAGCACTGGAACACCTCGCCCTTGCACACGAACTGCCAACAACGTACAAAGATGTCTGCCCCTAACCGACATGATGATGTACATATATCACCTGTGTATCGTGATAGGGATCTTGGATTGATTAAACATTGTCACTTTCCAGAAA